AAGGGCACGTTTGTTTCGTCCGAGTTTCCGCAATCGATTAATGGCGTGATAAACATCTCCACCATGAACTGGAAACCCATCACCCATCCAGCTCTGTAACGCAGACCCAACAGTTACGCCCTTCGGGAGCTTCTCGATTCTCACAGACAAACACTTGTTGGGCTCTTCTTCTTCTTCTTCCTCCGACCCAATAGATGTCTCTTCCGGAGATTTCGTCGAGGAGATTAGGGTAGTGAGAAAGCTTGAAGCTTGGAAATTAGTTTGATTCACCGCAAGCGAAGATGGCACGCAAGTTGTTCGACGTATTGCCTGAACGAAACATTCTCGCTGCCTCACCAACGCAATTATAGATCTCATTTCTTCTTCTTTACTGGCCCGTAAACTACTTTCACCATTTAAGGCCCGATAAGTAAGTACATGGTTGACTTATAATATATTTTTAACTAAACTCTTCACTTTTTTTTTTTTTTTTTCACAAAAAGTGGTACCATTTTATATCACCAGATGTTGAAAGTTACAACTGTGGAAACTTCCACTTACAAACCAACTTAAACCTTGTCAGCTTACAATGGATTTACAAAAAACAAAAGATCCATTGTTCAAGAGATAGAACATTTTCATCCAGTCAAGTTTCCATCTTAGTGTGAAGCTTAAACAACCTTCCTTCATAAGCTTCAGAAGATATGATCTTTCCAAAAGGTACTTCTAAGATCATATCCTTTTATTCAAACCTTAAAGCTGCCTTAAAACCTTACGCAGCCTCGCCAAAAAGTGTTGACAGAATCAGTAGAGTGTTTTATCGTTTTTTTGGAGGCTTCAGAATTCCTCCATGATTAAGCTCAGATCCTTTTTGCTTCTGGTTCATGTTTTCTTCCTCTTGATTATCAGAAAGATTCTTTTTACGCTTTGAAGAGTCAAACCTCCCTGCTGGTTCACCATTTTCTGATCTCCTTGAAGATTCACCTGTTTCAAACCTCCTTGTATCTCTTGGCATCATCTCATGAACTGTAGCGGAATTAGAGTTAGAGCTTGAAGCTGATTGTTGTCTTCTTACCGCATTCTGGGGGTTTGGAACAGCAAAGTGTTGGAGATTAGCAATCCTTGAGGAGGACAGATACCTTCTTGCATCAACAGTTTCTTCAGGATTCAATGGTGGAGTAGCCACTCTTGGAGGAGTTGATCTTGGTGCAGGAAAGGAGTAGTCTGAATTCTGAGATTGAGAGTTCATGTTAGACCTCTGAAGATTATCCTGAAGAAATCTTCTCTCTCTACCCACAAATGTATGATCCAAATCATCACTTCTTCCTCCATCAATAGGCTGACCATAAGGACACTGATTTCTTTGATGATTAAACCTCAGACAGTTGGTACATATTCTTCTGAGACGTTCATATTGAAAACGGATCACAACTGTCTCACCTGCATCAAAGCGAATTCTTTGAAAGAACCTTAACCTATCCGATATTCCAAACCTAATTCTAACCCGAATATAGGCTATCTGTATGGAAGTGGTCTCATTAAAGTCCACCTGGATTATCTCCCCAAGATCTTGAGCTATTTCTGACACTGTTTCAACACAAACATAGTGCACAGGGATTCCTCTAATCTGAACCCAGAGATCTATTGTTGTCAGAAAATTTAAACTAAACTCTTCACTTAAAATCTCTTCTTTTAATTAATTACTTTGTAGTATTTCGTGAGATTTTTAAATTAATTAATTAAAATGTTTCTCATTTGAATATTTACCTAAATTGTTCATGATTAATTAGCTGATTGAGCTTATATATATCCTAAATAAGTAAATAATATAAACAGAGGAGCTAGACATAGACAAATCTTTTTTTTTTTGTTAAAGAGACATAGGGCCTGATTGGCAAGTGCTTTAGAGTCTTTACAAAGCAAAAAAATTTCTAAAGCATTGAAATAGATCCAATCAAGCTTTAGAAGCTTTAACTTTCCTTTTTTTCTCACAGCCAAAATATTTCCATAATTAATTTTTTTGGCTGTAGAAAGCCTTTTTTTTCTAAAGCATACAATTTTCAACTTTCCAAAATTTTAAATGTTACAGCAAAAATACTACAGCACTAAAATCTACAGTCACAGCCAAAACATCTACAGCCTAAAATCTACAGTAAAAAATCTATAGCTACAGCCGGAACCAATCAGGCCCATAGACAAATCTTAATAGTCACAAAAGGCAATACGCAATACACATAAATATTTTTATACGTTACATATGAAAACATTACACAATCACACCATCACCAGTTCACCACCACATATAGGAAAATACAAAGCTGGAAAAAAGTCAAAGCTTGAGAGAGTTATTACGCAACACAACGGTCACGTCTTTATTCCAACACACACGCAACATCTCGTAGCATAAAACACAATTTTTCCCCAATTTTTCTGGCATATTATAAGATTTAGACCACAATAATTTCATCAACAGTTACAGTTTGACCCACAGCTGCAGTTTGATCCACAGCTACAGTCGTCGCACTCCTGGTTGTAGTTCTTCTCGCAACTTTACCACACAAAAACAAACAAACAAAAGATTAATATGATGAGATTAATGACTAATCAACCACATGCATATATATATATATATATATATGTGCAATATATATATATATATATATGCGCAGGATAGACACCGAAATGTTTTCGAGTTTATTAAAAAAACACAATTGTAAAAGAAGAGTCATAATAATTTTAGAATTTTGTACCATGAAGCCATTAAAACTCAACTACATATATGCATATAAAGGTAAAAAAGGGAGGATCTAGGGTTTACCTGCAAGAGTCACCACATTTGCACGAGGAGCCACATCCACAGTTAGAACCAGCCATTTCTCTTACTTGTCTTTGATTGATTTTTATAGTTTCTTCTTCTTCTTCTGATGCTTTTGTGATTTCAACAAATGGGAATGGCCACTATTTATAGAAGAAGGAGAGATTCGGTTTTATATCCACCATACACGTGGCATTTTCTATTTCCGCAAGTTTTAGTTACGTATATGACATTGACAAAGTAAGATAAGAAATTGTATATATGGGATAATTGGATTGCTTTCTAGTGAGACTATATATATAATCTAAATAAATTTACGAATAACATCAACTTGCCCATTATTTTATTTTATGTTAGATTTGTTCCAACAGCTTTATTCAAGAAAATAATTTAATGTTTTAATGAGTTTTAGCAAGAAACAGAGAATCAACAAATAAATAGAAAATGTCAAATTATTGGCGAATAAGTAAAAAAAAAAAAGTCGTACACGCAACAAGAGTAACTATCTCAATTGCCAATTGTAAACGGCAGCCGACCCAAAAAAGAGGCATGAAGCGTGCCTCTTAATTTCATCTGCTTACTATATACTTTTATTTTGAAAAATATGTTAATATTTATAGCGTATTTATTCATGTAATAACAGTCAAACATTACAATTGGTTTACAAAAAAAAAAAAAAAAAAAAAAAAAAAAAAAAAAAAAAAACAGTCAAACATTACAATAATATATTCATATTTTCCATATGTATACAGTGTATTATATTAAACATTATCCTTTCTTTTTCTAAACCTTGTAGACTTGTAGTAGTGTTATCATATGCGTCAGGAAAACTTATTTAATGAGAAATATTTGTCATCTATTTTGAAACCTTCCTGTGGTCATCTGGACGACGACCCAGGACACGGTCTACGTTCTTCTACTACTTACTACTAATATTGTAAAATTAGTATGAGTTTTTTACGATCCATATATTAGGTCAGATTAAATATCCGTTTTAAGATTAAAAAAAAATTGACACAAAAAATAAAATAAAAATTGGACTAAGTGCAGATTGAAAATTGAAATCATACAAAATTCATATTTTTTCTTCTCAACTTCATGAATAAAACTATTTTTTTTGTAGCAATTTGGGGTGTTTGATTGCATTTGTCGCAGACATCAAATGATGCATGTGTTGAATTCGAAGCTAAGATTACGTAACTATGGAATTTAGTCGAAGTTTGTATATGTTTTTAAGCTTTATACCGAAATTTTGGTGGGTGGCACCGTAGAAGACATTTTCCATTTTGTCCCAAAATATTATGATGAGTTTATGGTGTTAAAACTGTCGATGAGCCGTGAGCGACTGATTTTCTAAACAAACCTAATTTGTCTCTGGTGCCGAAAGTTTGGGTAGGAATAAACTTTTTCCTATTTTATACCAAATATTTAAGAACCACACAAACTTGTTTGAGTTGAGTCTAGATACTACCTTCTTAGGAATTCACGAACGTTGCTACTTTACGTAAAGGAAAATAGAAGGAATAATCGTAGATGGGGTCATTATAGAATGGTAACATGCACTAGGGTTGGGGCTGGTGTTTTCGTTGGCTTCTTGCCCCTTCAAGGTCCTGAATTGTTGAATTTACGTTCCATCACAAATCCAATCCTGAATATTATTTTTTGACTTCCTAGTTCCTACGTGCCAGCCTCATTTACTCAAAAACTTGGCCTATAATATCAAAAGTGGTAGTGACATTTTTATTTATCTAGGATTCTAAGAGACATCAATTTGGATTAATTATGAATAGTTGCAGTAATGTTGAGTTTTTAGTTTAGATTTATTAGATTTGGTTTTATATGTTGCAACTTGCAATATAAATATGTTGTCTTAAATTAAAAGATTATTTTGTAATTTTGTTAAATGACATGTTGATTAAAAAATTTGGTGAGATACTTTTGGATATTTATAAACCTCATGCTCTCAAAATCTGCCGAAATTAGAAAATCTAAATCTAGAGGGATTATAAAGTCCAACAAGAAAGCTATATTACAATTTTTTTGCTTACCCTATCATATACGAAACTAAAACTTACAGATAGCAAGGTTGACAAAATGAATATAAAATATATATTCGGTTATATATATATATATACAGGATATGTATGGTGGATATAAAACCGAATATTTATCTTCTTCTATAAATAATGGCCATTCCCTTTGTTGAATTCACGTATCAGAAGAAGAAGAAAAAAAAGAAAAACGAAAGTACAAAAATCAATCAAAGAGAAGTAAGAGAAATGGCTGGTTCTAACTGTGGATGTGGCTCCTCCTGCAAATGTGGTGATTCTTGCAGGTAAGAGCTCCCTATATTTTCTCTTTTTTAGCTTAACATGCATATAAGATATATGCATGTGGCTGCTTTTTTCTTAATTAATCTCATCCCATCAATTATTAAATTTTGGAATGTTTTATTTTTTGTGTGACAAAGTTGCGAGAAGAACTACAACAAGGAATGTGACGATTGTAGCTGCGGATCAAACTGCAGCTGCGGGTCAAGCTGTAACTGTTGAAAACATTATCATGGTCTAAAACCAGGGAAACTGGGAAAATATGTGTTGAAATAAAGACTTGGCATTGTGTTCCGTATTAAGCTTGACTTGTTCCTGCTGTGTAATGATTTTATTTGTAACCTAAAACAAATATATGTATTGACTTTCGCGATTATTAAGATGTGTCTCCTTTCTCCATATCAAAGAATGAAAGGTTAATCAGCTGAATAATCCACAAGTATGTATTAAGCATTTAGATAAATGATTAGATATTTAGATGGTAAAACCATACTTAAAAAGGTTATATCACGTTATGCATAAAAAAATTTGACTAACAAAATCGTGAAAATATTTCATTGCACAATAGTTGAGCCACTTCTCCAAGCCAATTCAATTGGTCCATCTACTGATTACTGAAGTAAACTAGTCAACACAGATATTCTCCAATTTTAATCTCTCCGATCCCTCACCATCACCGTCGACAAGCATTTTTAGACCATCTTTCAGCTCGGCCACGCCTTCTTCAAGAACCGCGCAAACCGGAAATATCTTCACTCCTTTCACTCTCCTCTCAAGTTCTTTCAATCTCTCTTCCGCACCTTCCTCATCGATCTTATTCGCCACAATCAACGACGACCTATCGGATAACCCTTCTTCGTGGAACTCAAGCTCCATCACCAGATCTCTCAGTTGTTGCCACGGTGTCACTCCTCTACAACCGTCTAGCCCCGATGCTAAATCCACAACGTAAGCCAAGACTTTAGTCCGTTCGATGTGGCGGAGAAAGTTGTGGCCTAGACCTCGGTTCTGATGAGCTCCTTTTATAAGTCCCGGAATATCTGCTACCGTCATGGAGAAGTCGTCGTAGTTTACGTTTCCTAAATTGGGACGGAGTGTCGTGAACGCGTAGTGACCTACACGGGGTTTAGCGCGGGATAGCGCACCAAGAAGAGTGCTTTTCCCTGCGTTTGGCAACCCAACAAGGCCAACGTCGGCGATGCTCTTGAGTTCTAATATCAGAACAGCCTCGGAACCGAGCGACCCGGCTTTAATACTCGACCTTTCATCATCATCTTCAGCATCATCCTCCATGCTCCTCAAATTGGTTTGACGGATTGCGGTTTTAGCAAACTTGCTGCCTCTTACATAACGTGTAGCGGAAACGTTACCCAAACCACCTTCACCGCCACGAGCAATGATTATTCTCTGACCTTGTTGTGTTAATTCCGCAACATTATACCTGATATGATCAATCTCTTCTTCGTCGTCTTCCAAATCAGCTTCCTTTGGCATGCCTAAATGTCTCGTTAAACTCTCTTGGTCAGAATCATCAAGTTGAACAGACTCAATCATAGTTTTCTGATGAACATCAGAGTTCTCCTCGGATGCAGGATCCTCAACCAATGAGCCAGGAAGTTCCCATGGATCCAAATCTTTGGGAGACTCATTTTCCACCTGAGATGGAATCTCACCCTCCTGAAGATGAATCACTGTCCCAATAGGCACTTGCAAGACCTGTGGTAACACAAACAAGCACGAAACAAAGTCTTAATTCCCGAACGATAAAAGAAAGAAGCAGAGGAACAAACAACTAATGAGAATGTAATTAAAACCTTGTCTTCTCCTCTGTTTCCTATCCTGTTCTTGGAAGTTCCATGTCCAGCTTTCCCACCTTTCTGCAAAACTCATTGATATAACCAACTAAGAGAAATTACACGATCCCCAAAAACATGAAAAGAGTGACATATACTTACAATATGGGGTTGTAATCCACTGAAATCCCAAACTGCGTGTGTGCATTCTAAAATCACATCACCTCCTCTCCCACCATTTCCACCTAAACTAAGCTCAATTACATTACATGAAACAAAAAACATCTTTTGAATCAATCAATCACTCAAAAGAGTATTTCAATTCTAAGTATACCAAACCTAGAACATAACTATAGATTGGGAATGATTCAACAATTCTGTATTATCAATTCGGAATAGTACCATCAGGTTTGCCATAGCGATCGGCACGGCTCCGGCGAACGCTAGAACAACCACTACCACCTTCACCGCCGCGTGCGTACAGAGTAAACCTATCTCTCATTCTAGTCTCCTGTACCACAACAACACACACAAATCAGAACTTCAGTGAGAGAGAGAAGCAAAAGAGTGGGTTTTTATTTGTGGGTTAAGTGAATAGATGATGAATTCACCTGCAAAGGAGCAACTTTCCCTTTCTTCTCCGAAAAGTCTGAGTACAATACCACTGGATTTCTCATCCATGGCGGTTTCTGAGGTCTCTTGTAAGATCCCAAATATCGAACGGGAACAATCGCCCGGGTTAGCCACATCAACTTGTTGCTGATGGATCTCCGGCGACCTGATAGAATGAGGAGACACAAGAGAGTGTCCCGCTGAGGAAATTGATCGATCGGGGAGTCGCCGCGGTGGTGGTCGGAGACGGAACCGAGTTAATGGCTCAAGGGTTTAACGTAATAGGCTCGGCCCAATAAAGTAACCACGGCCCATTAAATTAAAAGATCTGTTTAGTTAAATGACAATTAACTCTGATTAAAAGTTGCTATTGGCAAACAAAATTCTTAATAAGGTAAATTGTATTTCATCAAAAAATGTGGGACTGATTAGGCACACTATATTACAAGCTGTAAGAAATCTTGAATTTTGTATCAAACACATAATTATATACATGTATATCAAAAATCTACCAGAAATATTCAAAAAGAGGTTTTGTATTTGTAACTCACTAATTATAAACACAAAGCAGTTCATCTAAAACATCATCAAAAATGAGATCTTCAAGCTCAAGAGTAAGCCATTCAGATTCACCTTGAAGATTCATCCATCCATCACTCTTTGTAAGAAGATCTCTTCCCACAATATCATCCAATGAACGATCTCTATTCTCAGCTCCTAAACCAGAGAGGCTCCACTCGACTCTTCCCCATACCTCACCAAGATAACGTTTACCATATGGATATGTTTTGGGGAAGTATATTTGTGATTGGTTGTGAGACTCGACGATTGCCTCGTTAACCAAATCAAAGAGAAGCTCTTTGTCGTTTACTACTTCTTCGTGTATCTCGAGTTCGTGAAGCAGTGATGGATTCAGTGGTTGTTCCTCTGAGTGCCATTTTTCTCCGTTATATTTGTTTTCGAGGAAGCCTGAAACTTCTAGAACCTTCTTTACGTAACAGAAGTAGGCATCTTCATCTTCTTCTGCGTCGTTGTAAATCTCTGAAGAACTTAGACCTAAACCTGTAGAACAAGCATCCATAGAATTGAGTACATTTCTCTCATCAACAAGTGAAGAGCTTATTTTGTTCAAGAGATTACTTTGTGAGAGTAAAGTCTCTGTCTTTTCTGCAGTATCATCGGGACTAGGAGCTGAATCTTGATCTTGTTGCAGGATTCTTTGGTTTGAGCTGTCTAGGTGAATTTCTTGGCTTCTCTCCTCTTGCACCTCATACTTCTCTTCCTTCTCTGCTCCTACCGGAGATTCGGATAACAATAAAGATTTCTTGGGTCCAAAGTTAGTATCTTGGTCCACAGGTTTCTTAGGTTCCAGATTGGAAGTAGAACTGTCTCTTGGAAGGTCGGTCAGAAATGAACCAAGAACTTCAAGGCTGGACAAGGAAGAAATCCGTCTGAAGAATTGCGGTTTATTATCTCTTGAATCGCTCTTTTTCTCTTCATATGAAAGTTTTAAGCTCTTCGAACGCAGCTTGCCACCTTCTCTTCTAAAACTTTGCTCCAAGAGTTGAGAATATCTCCCCACATAATCATCTTTTGTGACATCCGAAACCTTCTTCTTCTTCTTTGTGTGACTTCGGTCCTTAAGTGCGTTCTTGATCAACTTCTTGATTTCTCTAAATCCGTTTATAACAGCGTGGTTAAATCCATGATCATCATCAGCTGAGCCATGAGAAGGAGAGATTTGTTTGTGCTCTTGAGAAGTGTCTCTTGGAACATTCAAAGTCAAAACGGCACCGTTTTGCTTTGGAGCATACCAATTCTCCTTCTGCTTGTTTTCGAGTCTAGCAGGACGAGAAGAGCCTGAGATAGGAAACGAGCCTGACTTGGGCAAAACTCGTGGATTAGACTTGATCTGGACTCGATCTTTCAGTATCTTGACAAAAACATCTTCCTTTCTCAAGATTTCAAGAAAATCCACGTACTCAGTTACTTCCTTCGTAGCCATCATCTTCTTCGGTTTTGTTTCCTGTCTTGTTGGCTTATTATCTGCAGCAGCATTAAGCATCTTTGAATCTCCTTCCTTAGAATCAAGAAACGGTTCTTGTTCCTCAGTTTCACGCATCAAGGAATGGGTTCTTGGGGTCTTCCAACCTATGAAAACAGAGTAATGAACCATTCAACAATCTTTAAAAAATATTGAAAATTACTTTAAAATATTTTAAGAGATGGTGCTTACAAATTGGTCGGTTCTTAGTTCTCCAATGGTGAAAGTCAAGCACATGAAGCATTCCAGCTAACCATCCTGATTTGTGATTATATTTGCCATCTTTTGGACTTGAATTCTCGTTTTTCAAATGCTTCCCCATTTCGAATCGTATGATCTACAAATTAAATTACGATTTTTGAGCAATTTGAAAGACAGAGGATAATAACAGCGACGTATTAAAAAACACAGACAAATTTAGTCAGACCAGAGACTAAGTAGCCAGTCTGAAATCTTCAAAATCTAATCAAATCAAAGAAACAAATCATCTTTCTTGTTCCATTTTGATGAACCTAAGCAAGAGAATAATAAAAGCCGTTAAAAAGTTATACAGTAGAAACTGACCTGATCAAGATTCAAGAACAAGAAGGAAGTGATTGAGCCAACCAAATTGTTTGATATTATACAAACAGAAGAACATAAGGAACAACAAGAAAAACCTCAAGAGCGAAAGAAACGAGGAAGACCATGAACAAGAACGAAGAAAATGAGACTTTTCGTTCTCCTATGTGGTTCTACTTTACCCGCCAACTATGGCCCGGTCTACTTGTAGAAAACTGTCAAAATGTCTGTTTCATCTATATATATAACGCTCACACGCCATGAGAAATACATGAAATAATTTGTTTTTTTTCTCATTGTAACACATGTACTTTTCTATATTAAATTCAGTATCTACTACTTTTCAACGTGTAATTTAGAATTTAATAAAATAGTTTCTCTTATCTTTTTCATTACTAAATATACGTATAATTTCTTTTGTTAGTACACGTTTATTATTTCATAAAAATTATTTAAATATTAATAACTTTTTAGAGAAATTTGTTCAAATTCAGAAATTTTAATATTTTTAAATAATGTTCTCTTGTAAATATTTATTGTCTGATATTAAATAATATAAGTCTCTATCCCTTTGTTTTTATGTGATGTTTTAATGATTTTTCATAGTATGTATTAGTATTTTCTGTGCAAATATGATCAATTTAAAGAGTATCTATTATTATTTTTTTGACGCAGAAGATCGAATCATGAATTTATTAAATCACCGCAAAATGATATTTAACTCATTTTCTGATTTTCCGTCAATTTAGAGCTTCATCTATAAATGGAAAACCTTCTTCACAAGCGGAATTTTAACTATTTTTGCTGCTTCAAAATTCTGAAAGCTCGCATAAGTGTTTCAAAAGTCCAGAAGCGTCTCAAAATCATTAGAATAAATTCATATGACTTATACTAGAATATATATTGCTCATCTATATGAAAAAAGAAGAAGCAAAAGGTCTGATCCAGAAAATGTCGTATCAAATATCTTGTGGGTAACCAAGTTAAATATATTAACGGTTTCTAGAATTGCGCTGGTAAAGTATGTGAACAACCCAAGAAGGATGAGTAGTTACATTAGTTGTTAGGCTACTTTGTGTTTGTGGCAAATTAATGATATTCTCTTTATGGGAGGTAGGCCATCTTTTGGGCTGCTTAGGTTTTCTGTGAATTAATGAATTCTGTCAAATGATAATAGAATGTTGTATATCAAGTTATATATAAATATTACTATGCAAGCCAGAATTGACTTGAAAGCCAAGGTTGACCTGGAAGATTAAAACCCCTAATCACACTTCGAATTTAACCGACTATAAGGAAAACTTCGACTACCAAACGAAATAATATGTAGTATATTAGATTGTTACTTTTTTGATATTCTAATAAGCAGTATGTTCCTATCAAATTAATCTTAAACAAAACGTAACAAGAAAAGGAAGTCAAAGACTTTAGTTGGATTGGCGTGATTAAGAATAGTAATGATCACAACTGCCCCAACCAAAGTAAATGAATATTGCCACCAAACTCATAAAAATGAACTAAAGACCATTCACAAACTTTGTTAACAAAAGAAGAAAATTAAAGTCCATGAATGACGTAAGAGAGGGAGAGAGTGGTGGGGGAGAAAGGAATTATGAAAGTTGACGAAAGATTGAAGAAAACAAGACGTTCAGTTATAATATGACACGTGGTAGGCTATGAGCCCATCTGATCCTCTGTATTACACGAGATCCAACGGCGATTGCCAAAATGAAAACAAATGAGAATTTGTGGCACACTCTTTTGACTTTTAGAGAGTTTTTGTCTTAGCCCATAAGATCTATCAACAACTTCTTTAATTGGCCATTCCTAGTTTTCCGCAGCTATGTTGATAAGAAAGTCTTTTACTTGCAATCGAAGTTCACGCGTAAACCCACGCTCGATCTGAAGCGTGTACCGTGTGTAGTATTTTCAATGACCCGTTTTGGTTTGAAAAACTATATATGTTTTCCAAGTGATTTCTCTTTTGAATTATTTGCGCTAGTAACTTCGTTAGCAATAGCACCTATTACCATAAATAGATGGATAATTTTTACCAACGTATAGATTACACCTCTACAAGTTAAAGAACGTATTGATCTTTCTCACACACGCATGAAGAAGAAGACTCTGTCTTCGACTCCTCTCATACGGTACTCACCAGAACGAGCGCGTGCATGCACGCATTTGTGTGAGAGTGGTCCTTAAGAGCATCTCCAATGGTGAGAGCCCTCTCATGGGCTCTCTCCCATTCTTTAATATTAATTGTGAAAATTTGAAAGAAGAGAGCTTGTATTTTTTTTGAAAAAAAATTCATAGTCCAATGGTAGTATCTCTCAAGTGGGGTTCTCTTCAAATGTTTCAAATTTTTGTCCACAATCTCTAAATCTCAAAAAAAAAATCAATACCTTGCTAAAGAAAACAATGTTAACTAGTTTCTTTCTCTTAAGAAGTATAGAAGTCGAAAAGAACATATATCCAAGAACACAAAGAACATGTCTTAAGTAGAACACAAGTTTTAAGAAGAACACAAAGAACAAGTCGAAAAATCAACACACCTTCCTCTTAAGAAGTACAGAAGCACAAATCCAAGAGACTCTTGGTCAGCTCTTCGACTTTGCCCTGTGAAAGAGAAACCAAAATATATGAGCAAAGACGGTTTACTTCACATAAGGAGATTAAAATTGGCAGTATTCCTTACCAATACCAGTTCAGGAACATATAAAACTTTCCAATAAGATCATTTTCTGAAGTTCAAAAACAATGAATTCTTAGCTAGGGAATCGTGTGTAGGAAAGTACATAATTTCAAATCCTCACCAACTCCAGTATTCAAGAAGAAAAAATCTCCAGGCATGTTCCAATCAATCTCATTAACCTGTTACAAGAAGACGAAAGACATGAGAACATTCCATACAGCACCAGAAAATTACTAGGCGATTATTACATGAACAAGGGACTTAGGTGAAATATAACTGCATGCACTTTTAATAGGAGACAGGGAAGGAGACAGATACGGACATCCAGAATGGTAAGCTCATCATCCTACATTGGCCAATAAGAGAGATGCTAGTGTATACAACACTTCATGTAATGCATACAACACTTCATGTAGGAACAATGCTAGTGTAAAGAGATGGGGCTCGAGACAATACCCTATTACCAACAGCTACATGTGTCCCATCAGGTTTGTAAGTGATGTTTATATTCTCTCCACTAAGTTTTGCCTGCTGTGTGCATTTTCCACCTGTATAACTCGAAGAAGACATATCTTAGCAATTGATAGTAATATTTGTGAATGACACAAAGCTAATCCATTAGAAAATTTACAGATTTCTAAACCAAGCTCCAGGCATATTTCAGAAGCAAAACTAAACGATTAAGAGAATACTTCTCCATATGTATTCATCATCATCAAAAACACACAAAGTTCCCATAGCTCAAAAGGTAAAGAAATTACATGACCGTGTGGTTCGATATTCCAAATGCGAGTCGTTTGTTCAACAGAACCCGAAGCAAGATTTGTTCCATTAGAATTCCAAGCTACAGAATGTACCTTCAATCCCAAAAATTCCCCCAAATTCAGGAAAAAAACTAGGATTTCGCAAGTTTTATTGACTACAGAAAATTAGACTGGAGATAGAAAAAATAAAACCCTAATTTAGGAGATTTAACCACAAAATACAAAATTAAATCACGATTTACACTCAATAATTGCTTGATTAATACCTAATTTGGAGCTTCCATCACAGATTTCACTCCAAATCACTTTCGGTTCCGATTGAGTTTGGTCTTCCTCCGCCAATGGACAACAGCTTCTGTTGACTTGATGATTTCGGCGTCTCAAATTCCTCGATTACACACATAAACGGCTTGATTCATCGAAAATCATAGATCAATGATTTTCTGTTTGGTCGCGAGAGAGACAGAGAGAAAAGAGAGTAGTCGTGTTTAGTTTTATTTTTGCGGAGGAAACGAGAGTTGTTTATTTTTTTGTTTTGTTAAATATGACGACCCAATCAAATAAGGACACGTGGTCGGCTCTCTCATCCTCAAAAAACTCTCTTCAGAGAGCTGGCTCTCTCAATTTTATTCACTTTTGATTTATTTTTTTGCAATTAATTCAAGAGAACCTCTGAATTTTTTCATTACATCCTCCCATTGGAGATGCTCTAATAGCATCTTCCCCCATTTAAATAGAAACCCCTGAGTTAAAGACTCTTTTAGTCAACGCCTCTCTCGCGTTCTTACTTGTTTTTGACGTCACACTTTTCATCTAGGAGTATTTATTTTCTGTTGACACCAATGTTTTATTTTCCTTCTCTCAGATTTTAATCAGACAAAACTCGAATAATATCTCTTACATTTTCTTTTTCTTTTATTCCTTTCCCTGATAATTAATTATACTAGAAAAATCATTTTCTTTTTGCACATAAGTCAACTCTCTCTCTCTCTCTTTTACTTCTTCTCATCATCTTCTCTTTTCCCTCTCATTGGATTTTCTTCCATGGATGAACAATCAATCTCAGCTTGAATTCTCCCAAATCCTCTATTGACTTTGAAAATCCAAAAAAAAAAATTGAAATTAAAAACGTTTCTTGATGGGTAACGGAGTCACAAAACTGAGTATATGTTTCACAGGCGGCGGAGGAGGAGAACGTCTCCGGCAAAAAGACATCTCCGTTCTTCTTCCGGATCCTTTAGACGAAGGTTTAGGTCACTCCTTCTGCTATGTCCGACCCGACCCGACTCTAATCACTTCTTCAAAAGTCCATTCAGAGGAAGATACAACGACGACGACGTTCCGTACCATCTCCGGCGCTTCCGTCAGCGCCAATACAGCAACTCCTCTCTCAACTTCTCTCTACGATCCCTACGGTCACATCGACCGCGCCGCCGCATTCGAGAGCACGACGTCGTTTTCGTCAATCCCTCTGCAGCCGATCCCTAAAAGCTCCGGTCCGATCGTTTTAGGTTCGGGTCCGATCGAAAGAGGGTTCCTTTCAGGTCCGATCGAAAGAGGATTCATGTCGGGTCCTCTTGATCGGGTCGGGTTATTCTCAGGTCCGCTTGATAAGCCAAACTCCGATCATCATCATCAGTTCCAACGTAGCTTCTCTCATGGTTTAGCTTTACGGGTCGGGTCAAAAAAAAGATCTTTGGTTCGGATCCTTCGTAGAGCAATCTCGAAGACGATGATGTCAAGAGGGCAAAACTCGATCGTTGCTCCGATCAAATCCGTTAAAGATTCCGATAATTGGGGAATTAGGTCAGAAAAGAGCCGGAATTTGCACAACGAGAATCTCACAGTGAATAGCTTGAACTTTAGCAGCGAAGTAAGCTTAGACGACGACGTTTCACTCGAAAGCCAGAATCTTCAGTGGGCTCAGGGAAAAGCCGGTGAGGATCGAGTACACGTGGTGGTTTCTGAGGAGCACGGTTGGCTCTTCGTCGGAATATACGACGGATTCAACGGTCCAGATGCGCCGGATTATCTTCTCTCTCATCTCTATCCTGTGCTTCATCGGGAGCTCAAAGGCTTGTTATGGGACGATTCAAATGTCGAATCCAAATCTCAGGATCTAGAAAGGTCTAACGGAGACGAATCTTGTTCAAATCAGGAAAAGAATGATACTTGTGATCGATGGTGGAGATGTGAATGGGATCGTGAAAGTCAAGATCTTGACCGTCGATTAAAGGAACAGATCAGTCGGAGAAGTGGGTCGGATCGGTTAACGAATCATTCGGAAGTTTTAGAGGCTCTGTCACAAGCTCTGAGGAAAACAGAGGAAGCGTATTTAGATACTGCAGATAAGATGCTCGACGAAAATCCTGAACTAGCTTTGATGGGTTCTTGTGTGCTTGTGATGTTAATGAAAGGTGAAGATATTTATGTGATGAATGTTGGTGATAGTAGAGCTGTGCTTGGTCAGAAATCAGAACCGGATTACTGGTTAGCTAAGATAAGACAGGACTTGGAACGAATTAACGAAGAAACGATGATGAATGATTTGGAAGGTTGTGAAGGAGATCAATCCTCTTTAGTCCCGAATATATCGGCTTTTCAGCTCACTGTTGATCACAGCACAAATATAGAAGAAGTAAGTAAACAAAAACAATGGTATCCGTTGTTCAATGCATCTGAATTTTGTCGTTTTTACTTATTGTTATGTTCTTGTGGTTTGTTAGGAAGTTGAGAGGATCAGAAACGAGCATCCGGATGATGCTACCGCAGTGACGAATGAACGGGTTAAAGGCTCCTTGAAGGTCACAAGAGCGTTTGGTGCTGGTTTCCTAAAGCAGGTACGAATATTCATCGACCTTAGTCATGATATTTGAGTATGTGTGATCTCAATCTAATTACTGACACTTTGGTTATGCTATTTTGCAGCCTAAATGGAACAATGCGCTTCTTGAGATGTTCCAAATTGATTACGTAGGGAAGTCTCCATACATCAACTGCTTACCGTCTCTCTACCACCACAGATTAGGGTCCAAGGACAGGTTTCTAATACTATCATCGGATGGTCTCTACCAATACTTCACAAACGAAGAAGCGGTTTCAGAGGTTGAGCTCTTCATCACATTACAACCTGAAGGGGATCCAGCTCAACACCTTGTGCAAGAGCTTTTGTTTAGAGCTGCTAAGAAAGCTGGTACGGTGAAGATTCATTCTTACATTGTGTTTCTGTTCAGAAAAATCGATTTTAGTAAAATATGTTTTTTCTTAATCGATGTTTTATTTGTATGTTGTAGGTATGGATTTCCATGAATTGCTAGAGATACCACAAGGTGAACGAAGACGGTATCACGATGATGTTTCAATAGTAGTGATCTCTTTAGAAGGAAGAATGTGGAAATCTTGTGTATAAAAAAACAAATTCCTATGAGCATAGGCACAACAACAAAGTGGTGTGTTCATGGAGAAAGAGATCGATCTCTCATCAACTCTGAATCATGTACAATGTTGATAAACAGCAAATAAAAAAAAAAGTTTTGGCAACTATTTAGATGTCCAAGTGTGTCATAAATTAGAGGTCAAATGTTTGGTTCTTTGAATGTAAGTTTCTTCCAACTACTAACTGTATGTGAATAGAGAAGTAAATGAAGGAATTGAAAGATGTTTGGTAATTGGTATGAGATAATGAGTACGTAGCAGTAGTGGTTCAAGAAGTTACTCACTTTCCCTACCATTTAAGTCACTTTCTCTCTCTCTGTTTTTTTTTTGTTTCACCAAATCTTTTGGCCTCTCTTTGTTTTTCTGTACTGTTTCCTTCCATTTCAGGGAACTTGGTTTTTATTAAATTTGGATCTTTGTGTTTTATGTAACTTCTTGTCTTTATATTCTACCCTTATGTAACTTCTTGTCTTTATGTTACACTTGCTTTAACACAATGTTGACTTAACTTGTTTTTTACCTTTGTTAGCTGTCCATTTTTAGTTTCTACCCATTTTGGGTTGGCTGTTTTTGACTGTCCAGATTTTGACTACTTCCACAACGTATTTTTTTTAATAACTGTTGTTCTGTAGTGTTAAGAAACAGTCCATTTTAGTGGCGTTGGGTCAACATCAACAATCAATCAACGTCGTCTATCCTACGGCCTAATTAGCGTTTGTCTATTGTACATCCTACAAGTATATCCTTAAGATTTGAATTCCTTCGTACAAGTAGATCCAGAGTTAAATGTATGTACAATTTTCAAGAATTACAGAGCCAATCTTGAATTGCAAGGCGTAAAAACTGTGGTTGGGTATGAGATGCAGACTACTTAGCTTCAGATTGGCAAATGCTAACAAAAAAATGAAGAGCCTAATTATCTAGATGAGACACTCTACTCTATTAGGTGAGAGTATTGATGATAATGCATCAATTTACCTACATAGTGCACTGGAGATTTCAGCTATAATCTGAGTTCGAGTCACCCAAGATAGAGGGGATGATCTTGTAGATTACCGTTTGGTAAGTACTCATACACGAGTGACCATGCTTCAAACAACAGCCAAACACTAGTGTAATACTTCCATCTCACTCCATTTTTCTATTCAAATCTCCAGTTTTTGCTAATTCTAACATTTTCTTTATTTTTACAATGTTTTTGAACTCAACAACTCTAACTCTAATTTGAACTCGTATCAATACACCATCACCATTATTCTCCCATGTTTGAGTCAAAATATGGTTAATACTAGTATTAAGTTTTTCTCCCAAATGCAAATAGATCATTTAAGAATTGCCCATATAAACATATTCTTTTGTAGCAAGTTAACAGAAATTTTTTATATACAATCAATATATATATTTTGTGATAAGTTAAAAGACTACTAAATTCTTTCAATTAAACTAATACTCCCTCCGTATTTTAATAAGTGTCGTTTTAGAATTTTTACTTTTTTGAATTGGATGTCGTTTTCAAATTTCTATGCAAAATTTTTTACTTTTTAATGTTTTATGATGTCATAAAACATTAAAAAGTAAGAAATTTTGCATAGAAATTTGAAAACGACATCTAATTTTAAAAAAAAAGAAAATCCTAAAACGACACTTATTAAAATACGGAGGGAGTATTGTTTAGTAAGATGTTTTGAACTTATGCCATATATTTTTTCTTCCCACCAATTGTTTTCCTATTTTAGCATTATTTACTCATGTAAAAGGAGAAAACATAAAAAAAGTCGTAAGTAAGAAAAAAAGTACAGTCAAAAAAGCATTTCAAATGATTTTAACCCTACCGTTAAAAAGTGGGACTAAACACAAAAGTTGGATGTAATGGATATACAAATCTCTGCCTGCATTGTTTTCCGTGCCAATCTTTTCTTTAACGTTTTCTCCATTATATTCGGTCTACCTTTTCCTAACGTATTAGTATGTTTTATCATTGGAAAATTATTGTTTTCATTGCAAATTACCAACACAACGTTGCTTCGAGATAAATTTGTTAAATTGCACATAATCAATCAGACGCCAAAGTTGTCACATTAGACTCTACTACTCATGACAGAGTGATTAAACCCAATAGATACTCGTCCCCAACTTAATTAGTTACAGTAAATTAAAGCTGTAATCAGTAACCTAACTAGTGCAATACAATACAAATAATAAAATATACAGTTAACAATATAATCTATAAAATAGGTTGGTTTTAGCTTGTTGTGTAGTATGCATATAAGTTAAACATTCATATCTGGATCTGCCTACTAGTATACTTTTTTGCTTAAATAGTTTTAAGAAAAAATACGTAAGTACGCTTCAACAATCCATGCAGAAAGTTTATTAATCTTGATTTAATAATATCTACGTGTAGAGATATACATGTTTCATGTTTGCATATACATAGTTAAGGAATATTTATAGAGGATCGTGCATTCACAAAGACACACTGACACACACAGATTCGTACAGGATGACTGTAAAGAAAAAGAAGCTCCTAAAAATATGAGAAAAAAAAGTATTTTGGGAGTTTTAAAACGTAGCATCCAGAGAGACACGGAATTATATGATCAAGTTCCTTTGTCAGCAACAACCCTTTTACTTTACTTAGCCTTTATATATCATAAGAACAATCAATAAACGATATATCATTAGTAATGTTACGTTCCACTTGGTTTGGTAAGGCAAACATATAGGCCATAATTTAGTTTTAAACGGAAATTTGAGTAGAAACAAGCTAGAAAATATTATATATTTAATGAAATTCAGTTTAAAGAGTATACAAATTGGACTGTTACACACACACGTACGTATTGAGACATAGCAACTTCAGTATCAGATCAACCATGAAATCACGCAATACAAACAAATTATATGACACACCTGATTATGTAAATAAGTATCGAATCGAAGTTTTAAAACCACAATCTCTAATTAAGATACCTTTTAGTTTGTCCTAGTACTTCTCCGATCCACGATCATTGTCCTGAGCACATACTCTGCATGCAGTTAATCCTGACCGTTCGTAGTCCTTTTAATCAATCTCCACGTCGTAAGTGGTAACATACGTTAATGATCTGACAAACATATTATCTCACAAGAGATCATTAGAAGGACCCGAGAAATCCGAACCGGGCCAAAAGAACTGATTTGTTTGATTCCCAGGAGACGTCAAACCGGAGACCGGTCTAGACAAGTTAGCCAAATTAGGTTGCTCTTCCATCTTTACTGGAGGCGTCTGATAAACCCTAGAATCAGCCATTGAAGTAGGAGAACCAGATATCCCAACGTTGTTTCCGATATTACCCTCGTTCTGGAAAGCGTATAGCCCCGTTGTTGGATCGAAGAGAGCAAAGTGACTCAACGATCCAGCGGATGCCATTAGGTTGTTTTCGTTGATGTTGTTGTTGTTGTTTTCATGAATGTTTCCTGTCATCGGAGTTGAAGTATTTCGTCCATTTCCGACATGGAGAAACCCTAGATCGTTCATCAAACTCGAACCGATTTGGTGAGCTTGGTTGTTGCCATTAGTAGCGGCTAAGTTCAAACCAATACCTCCGAGTTGAGTGAGATTGAAAAGAGTTGGTGAAAACGGGAACTGATGATTTGTCCTTAGCTGTCCTGAGCTAGGACTTGGAACGTTGGCCGAGGAAGAAGACTGTTTGGAAGAAGAAGAAGAAGATTTTGAATTTCCATTTTTGCCCTTCTTGTTGTTCCTCCGGCAGCCTCCACCGACAGGGACGTTTCTCAGGGCGCCGCCTTGTGTCCAGTAGCGACGGCAACCTTTGCAGAAGTGACGAGGCTGAGTGAGGTTATAGTTGTTGTAGTAACAGAACTTAGTGTTGCTGGAGTCGCATCGTGGACACTTTAGGGGTCCCTCAGGTGGAGGAATTTTGGCTTGCCTCGCTCTCTCCGCCATCGATCTCGACGGAAGACCAGCAGAGGTAGCGACATATTGGTGGCTAGGGTTAGGGTTTGCTTGGAGAGGTGGAAGTTGGTGAGAGAGTAGTCCGTGGCCACTAGTTATATTTCCATTTTCGAGAAGCTGGTGCTGATGATGATGCTGATGATTCGAATTCGTAGGCTGCAAAACCAAACCAAAAAAATAAATCAAAATTAAAGAAAGAACAAGAAACCTCAATTCTCAACACTGGTGTAATTATTTATAGAAATATAATACGTATTTGAAAAGGAATAAATACCATATATATTGATGTTGGAATTTTAAAGAAAGCTGATTAGAAAAGAAGATGGGAATAGGAATATCTTTTGGAAATGAATCAAAATTATTACTAAAACGAATCAAAACATCAATGAAGAATTTAAGGGAAAAATTACAAAAAGAGAGAAAGAGGAGAGAACATTTAGTAATGGAAGATCAAAGAAGTAAACCTGTGACCAATTAGATGAGAAAGCCATTGTTCCTTCTACCCTTTATTATCTCTTTCTTCTTCCTTCTTTAATAAAGTTTGATGGATCTTTAAGGGAAAGAACTCCAGCAAAAAAAAAAAACTTGGTGGGGGAATCAAAAATAAGAAAGGCAAAACGAAAGAGAGGAAGCAAGACGACCAAAGGGAAACGCGAAGAGAGCACAAAATCAAAAAGGAAAGTGAGAAGAGAGAAGAGAGAACAAAGACAAATTAAAGGGAAATAAATGCTTTTTTAACGAGAAAAAGAAAAGGAATTTCGGTTCTTTTTATGCTTGCTATATATTTGTATAATTCCACTCTCATCTCTTCATGTGTATACGCGTCTATACTTCATTTATGGTTTATTTTTTTTTGCGATTCCCATTTTTAGGGTTTGAGTGGGGACGTTTCTTCGCCTATAAGGTTCCTCTCCTAGGCGTCTATGGAATAATTGTATATATATAGACGAAGAAAAAGTTCTATGAAATTATACCGGAGTACGCTGTAAGAAAAAACTATCTAAATATAAAATTCTCTCTCCATAAGATATTGGTGAAAAAATATTTTTGTAACATAAATATTCTTTCAGTAATATAACAATATTTTACAAAAATTAAAAAAAAAAAAGAATTCAAAACTTTTACAATTTTTAGAAACATTTACGTATTTATCCTATAATAACATTGTTGGTTTTCACATTTTCATCATCGATTTTTGTTTTCTTATCGAAACCAATCACAAAATCTAAAGTAATTCTAAGTTTCTAACATTCTAAACTTGAACGGTTTAACCGCTGTCAAAAATTTCACTGAAACTCAGAAATCTTTAATCACAAAATCTATATCATAACTCTGAAATCTTAAGCCCAAACTGCCGTTTATTCCTCCTTATGGAAGCTCACCACCACCAAACACTCAACTTCTATCTCTCTCTTCCTCTTTCTCTTTTTTCTGATCACGTACGTGCCTCTCTCTAGAGACATTAACTTTTGTCAAAAAACAAAACAAAACGAATTAGTGTCTAAAGAAAAAGATGGATGTGTTAGTATTGACTACTATTGAGGCAAATTAAGCTTATGAAAAGAAATAAATTCTTACAATTATTATTTATAATTTAGATGGCAAGCCCCATATGCCATATATAAAGCACATCATCATCATTCTCTATTACACTTTTGGTGGGATCTTGTCTATTATGCAATGGTGATTTTTTTTTTTTTTTTTTTTTTGCATTCAGTAGCATAAATAAGTGTCAGATTTAACAGCATGTCATCATAGAGTAGTTTCTATAACTCAAAAACATGTTTTGTAATTCTACCTTTGAACCAAAGGATCTTCACTTCACCTAATAGAGGCGTGATGAAGTGTGTTTTAACGTTTGTTTACATAATAAATCTTGAATGCGTAGTTAATATTAGAAGTACACACATGCATTCATTACAAATTTACAATAATTCAAATTAAACGAATGGATGAAAGTTTATAATTAGTTAACGTTTTTCCTATATTATTTTATGAAAACTAAAGTACTAGAAGAAAATCCAACATATCACCGGTCTTAATTCTTCTAGTAGATAATGAACTTTGGTTTCGGATTACAACTTTTATTTATTGGTCCAAAATATTGTGTAACAAAACGTACTACTTGTTAAAAGAGCTCTCCATTTTGCAGTTTGTCTCTACTTTAATTTTTCTTTTTTCTCTTATCTCTTCATTGATCACTCGTTTCGTTTATAAATTGCTAAACCTTTTTTTCAGAAAGGGACCGCCAAAGATAGCCTACTTGCTACATTATTATAACACTGCTTCGAGTGGGGCAAAACTCTCCACCGCGAATAATCTAAGAAAATAGCTTTCTCAACCAAAAAAAAATTAAAAGGACGTTCATGCATGAACCCATCACGAATTCCTTTTCATATACCAAAATCATCATGTACACTCTTATCGTTCTTCTTCTCCTTTGGCCCTTTAGATTGGATAAATGTTCATTTGACATATTTCCGGCTTTTCCTTGGAAATTGTGTTTCTTGGATGTGTGATATCATCCTGCTGATATCATCATGTACACAATTTGGTGAATTCTCTTTCACAATAATATGCCAATTTTAAATAAAACTTTATAGTCCATCTGTTTAAATATATTTGATCAAGAAACTTTTGCTAGTTCAATTTTTTTTTTATATCATTAATGTTTAATGTATCCTGATAAAAATTAACCAAAAAATATGAAATAAAACAAAATTTCAAAAATCATATTTTAATAAATTAAAGTGGCATGATTAGCTTTGCTAAGGATCTCAAATATACACAAGACCAAAATCTTGATAGATTATGGATTCTATAATTGAATTTCCGCATGTGTGGTGGTGTCTTTTTTCGGATATACATGTACTCTGGTTCAAAATTGAGTTCCAGCAATTTTCTTGAAGCTCTGGCGTTAATAACAACCTATGTAAATTTGCTCTATATATTATATAGATCTCATATTTCTATTCTCTGTGATTCTTGTTTGTCCAATATTATTGCTACTATTCATACAGTTACAGTTGCACGCGCGTATCATAAATAAGATTTTATCCACAAAGGGTAAAGTTATAATTAACATATAATAACGAAAGGGTTATTGAAGGATCCATCACTTTTATAGAGCCTTTTTGATATATATTGATGCTACACAATTGTAAGTCACGTATACCGCTGACGCCAATATCCTGATTACAATTCATAATTTAGACAAAAGATTCTTCTCTTTTTGTTAAACATAGAGAAAAAAACAATCTTCTTCAGTCTTCACATATATGTATCTATACAAAAGGTTATTAGTACCCAAGAATGACTCGCTCTGATCTCTTTTTTCCTTCAATCACAAATGACCCTTTTTTAGGGTTGTATAGAGTATGTGATCTCTTTAACAAAATGATATTAATACTTTCATTCAATTAATAATTGGTAATAATATATAATAGAGAGAAAAAAACGTGGAAGAAATGATAAGGACAGAAAAGAAAAGTAAGAAACATTAGTGGTGTGGGAATCTGATTCCTTGTCAATTAATGGCACCGTCCCCTCTCCCTCCAGCTTTTCCCTTATTGAGCTTTTTTTATATCTTCTGTGCAAAAGCTTACCTCTTAATCTCTGTCCCTGTATATTACACACACACAAATACGTAACACGTACATACACATTCCAGCTGGAAAATAATCGAACTAGAGCTTAGAGTTGCAGAGACTAGTGATGATGGTATCTAATCTTGATTCTTGAATATAAATGACTAGAATCACACGGTCTAACTTTATTTTGGTTTACTTCTTTTCCCTTTGATATTAATCAAGGGACATATCTATCTTTTGTTGCAATCGTACGACTCAAACTTTTGTAGTTGTGGTCTATTTTTGGACTTGCCGCAGTTGATGCTATTAAAGTTATTTATCCGATTTTGCTCACGTTTAAACAGAGTTTGATCTGCAGATACAAAAGAAGCAAGTATCGAATACGAAATGAGTAGCAGATTTAGTGCCAAACATGATTTTTGTCTGATATTTTTTTATATATTAGTCTTTCGTCTGATTTTGAGATCAATCTAGTTCATATAACACTATTTCGAGCTAAAGAACTTCCAACTATATATACACTTGAAAGCAAACTCTTTTTTATTGGTGAAAACTTCACCACTCCCACGAATCTCACTAAATTTTTTGGAATTTTAAGAACTTAATCCAAAAGTCCAGTTTTCTCCTCAGCATCAACGAGTGAGTTAGCAGAGCCAGTACGAGGCCCGCTTGTGGAGAAGCTAAGTGATCTGCTCAGCTCGTTTTGCCAGAAATGGTTCCTCAATGCTTTAAGCTTCGGGTTAACTGTTGAGAAGCTTGGATCCGACAGCAACTCTTGCATCGCTGTCTTTCCCTCTAAGAGACTCACCACCTGCGACATTGTAGGCCTTAGTGTCGGTGACGCGTTAGTGCACATCAATGCCACGTTCAGCATCAGCATGGCTTCCTCTTCTGAGTAATTTGAGACTAACGTTGGATCAACCAGCTCTAGTAAGCTTCCCCTCTCTTGCAAAACGTAAGCCTTCATGTATTTGATGCAACAAAGTTTGATACTTTAGTTTATTATATAACTCAATCACACTTATTCATTGGATGAAAGGTATGAGATTTTTACCCAATCAAGAAGGTAAACAAAGTCCTCGGTTGGCCTAAAGTTTGTGTTACTCTTTCCACTCACGATTTCGAGTGCAACGACGCCAAAGCTATAAACATCTGCTTTTTCAGTCAGGTAGCCACGCATCGCATACTCGGGAGCCATATAACCTCTGCAATGCAAATAAAAACATCAAACTTCTGTTATTGTATTCTTAAGAATTCTCTGCTTGAGCTTATGAGTAAAAAGAGCCTTACATAGTTCCTGCAATACGAGTGCTGATGTGTGTATTTCCATCATCGTTCAGCTTTGCCAAACCAAAGTCCGAAATTTTAGCGTTGAGATCCTTATCGAGTAACACGTTGCTTGCCTTTATATCTCTGTGTACAATCTTTATCCTAGATTCTTCATGGAGAAATGTCAGTCCTTTAGCTATCCCCAAAAATATCTTCTTCCTTGTTGACCAGTCTAGTTTCAGTCTAGAACTCTCATCCTTTCCTACAAAACAAGATCACCCACACAAACATTCTGAGCAGTAATTTCACCGGATACTTCTGCAGTTGCAAATTCGAAGAAAAAAAACATACCAAATAACGCACGAGATAGACAGTTGTTCTCCAAATACTCATACACCAATATCAACTGGTTTCCTTCAACACAACATCCATATAGCTTCACAAGATTTGGATGTTGAAGAGCTGAGATCATTCCTATCTCATTTACAAACTCGCGATTTCCCTGCCTCGATTTTGCAGACAGTTGTTTAACGGCAATTAATTTTCCCTCAGATAATTCACCCTGCACCAAGAGAAGGGCCACTTTCTCAATATCTCTTCCAAAATGTACACATCTTCTGCAAACAATTTCGTATAGAGCTAACAATGTTGAAGAATTCAAATGAATTACCTTGTAAACAGAGCCAAATCCACCTTCACCAATCTTTTTTGATACATCGAAATTATCAGTGGCTGCTTTTATCTGTCGTAGAGTAAAAGTTCCAGTTTGAAGATCCAAACCCCTTAGCTCTGTTCATTCATAAAAAATCGACATTAAAGCGCCAGAATACAAAACAACATAAAAAAAAAAACTAAAGCTTATATACCTTTATCAATAGCATTTTTGTCACGCCTTTTTTTCCAGAATACACCCAATATGAAAAACAAAAGAAGTGTTGCTGCAGCAACAGGTATCCCTGCTTTTAGTATGATAGCCTTTATGTCATAATATACCGGAGGTTTGAAATCTGCCACAAGCAAAATACTGTCATCAATCTGACAAAGAGGCTACACATGACGTACTTTGAGTAAAAACGAAACTTACTGGGTTCCACAGATATAGCTGAGATCATAGGACCATATACTCCTCTAATAGGAATTCCTGTTGTTCCTTTGCCAGCCCATCGCAAACCGATCTTCAGAGTATGGTCCGTCACATTTACCAGAAACGATTTTATGATTGGCTTACCAGATCCTCGAGCTGCTTCTTGAATGTTAAAGTTCTTAATCACTAAGTGATCCTGTGAGCAGATAAACATGCAAGAATATAATGTTATGATTTACATTTTTCTACAGAGTAAGTAAAAGAATATTGACGTCATAGACATACCTGAACATAAATATCGAACAAACGTTTTCCGAGGCTGTATAATGTATTGTCATCAGTAAAGATGATCTCAGCGAAGTGGAGATTCACAGTGTAGTTCCCATTTCCGAGACAAAGTCCATAGTAAGTCAACGATAAAGGAGAGACTCGAGCTGTCCTATAAAGTCCAAAGCTGGGAGAGGAAGCATTAATTGATAGCCTGGATGTGTTCTGCACAGTATAATCATCAGCATCGTCATCATTGTCCATGAAGTTCCCGGTGCTGCTCAAAGCCCAGTGCTTGTCACCGCCAAGGACGTACATAGAAGCACCTTTGGGTTCGTCATCAGCCTGATATGTTATTCCTTTATCCACTTTTACTTCACCTCCTCCGCAATTTATGTACAATTTATACATATCTACAAGAAAATATCAATTTTTAATTAAGAACAAGGATTTGCTTCACATTTATTTTAACTTTAATAGCTTGTACTAGAATATGATGAAAGCAACACAAGCGTTACTGTTGCTTACGATGTCTCTTAGGATGAACACAAGGCATGCGCTGAAGAAAACAGGTTGAACCTTTGTGTCTGCAACATCAAATTCAGAGGGAAAGCACAGACCGTTTTCGGTTCAGTTCACTAATCATAACTGAGGGACAAGATTTAAAAGACCACTACAAATTCATGAGCATCAATCAGTTTTCTATGAAGAGTCATTTATATACAAAGAGTGGTTTCTTACGATTTGTTTCCCAAGGCGAAGCTTTCCACCAAATTCCTAGAAAATAGAAAGCACAAAATTGTTTTTTCAGCCAGGGTATGAACAAAGTGTTCTGAATATAAGAGTACATTGAATAAACTTACGAAGTAACTCGGTTACAGTCATGACTAGGAATTGAACTTTCATCAGTAAAGTTATTAAAAGAAACATCTCTGCACATCAAGAAGAACAATTACAGTTTATTAAATCTGTTAAAGTTGGTACGTTAGAAAGTTAACAAAGGCATGTATTCGTACACATTTTTGTTTCTTTCGACAAAGTAGTTTGGAACACCTCCTGTCAATTTGTTTCCTGTCAAATAACTGATAGAGAAGACTTAGAAAAACTTTCATGATTGGGAAAAGTATAACTAAATTTTTATTTCCTTGGTGACGTACTTACATGAAATCGGCTTTCTTCATATTTTCAAACGATGAAGGAATCTCACCACTTAGGAGATTAAAACTGAGGTCACTACACAGTAAACATAAACACCATACATAGTTCATCTCATGGAAATATAAATCATTTTAAAGGTCTTCTTTGCTCAATGTTATACATGACTTACAGTGTTTTGAGCTTCTTCATATCCCCAATATATTTTGGAATTGGGCCATTTAAATTGCATTTTCTCAGTATCCTGCATACAAGATTGATTAAAAACGTTTTCTAGCAAACCTGTATCGCAAACACAACATACAAATTGCAAATGCACTCACAGCGTCTTGATAGACTCCAAATTCTTCAACGGAGGGAAGGAAGACGGTTTGCCTCCTAGGTCGCTAATCCTCCTATCAATCACAACCCACCAAAGAAAAATTATGATCATAATGTCTCGTGTGCCATTGTTTGACAAGGAAATGATTTGAAAATAAGTTTTTGTAAAGGCGTACAGGTCTGTCAAGCTTGTTAAGGTAGAAATACTGGAAGGTATCGGACCATCCAAACCGCAACCATGCATCTGCCTGCAAAAAATTCTTTGGTTTCTATGTCTTTTCTTGAGGACATGCAAGTACTCATATGGAGAAAGAATAGATCTTACAGTTTCATTATTCTTGTCCACTTGCCGATGAAATCTGGTATTGGTCCAGTGAAATTATTATCACTTATCCTCCTGACACCCAACAAATACAAAAATTAAAAAATTATCCAACAAAGACTAATAAATTTGTGTTTGTCATAGCAACCATGTAAGACTAAATTCTCTTACATATCTGACAGGTTCTTGAGCAATCCAAGTTTTTCAGTCAATGGACCAGTGAAAGCATTTGAAGGAAGATGACTGAGGCAAAAACAGAGATAATGATATAAGATATTAACTAAGAAGCCAAAAGACTTGGGATGTCTAGTGATGCTGGTTTGTTAGTGACTAGACATCACCAGTTTGTTCAATGTCTATAGATATAGATAGCCACAAAAGAAAGATTTCAGATAAAAGATAGAGAAAAGAAACTAACAGTTTCTCTAAATGAACCAACTTTCCAATATCAGGAGGGATTGGTCCTGAAAACTGATTTCCTTCTAGGCTCCTGCATAATTTCAAATGATCAACACATTCATATACATAAAAATCGATGTGGAAACTCTAGAATCATAACACGAACATAACTAGAAAGAATTATGATAAGTTTGATCAAGGCTCCAATAGAATTCATGAACCAAAACAAGTGTAAAGGTGTTAAAAACAGCAACATACAAGTTTTTGAGCATTGTAAGGCGGGTTAGGACTTTCGGAAATGGACCAGACAATCGGTTCCCCATGAAAGATCTGTGTAATGTTCATCAAAACACACAAAGATAAGATTTTTATTGGATTTTGATTTCATTAGAGAAGCAATGTAGAAGAGATACTTACAAATCTTCCAAGCGCATAGAAGCCCATTCCTTTGGAATGGAACCAGTCAGAGAGTTACGGCTAAGGTCTCTGCACCAAATTGTATGAGTTAAGAACCAATTTCTATAAGTTAAAACTTTGAGAAAGTATGAAAAGCTCAAGTCTTTGTTTGTTTTTGATCACTTACAAAACCTTAAGGTGACGAAGCTTAGAGAATTCTGGAGGGACAATGCCTGTTAAGTTCTGCGACTTGAGAGCTCTGCCAACAAAATTGTTACTTTCTTGACAATTTGATTTTGAAAAGGTCTTCTTTTAAAGAACTAGAAGTTTTGGGGTGGAAGATAAACTTCTTTAAAACATTGGGGACAAATATTATAATATACTAAAGCATATGTTAGAGAAACAAATTAAAACAATATCAATGGACTGGAAAAATAAATTGTGCTGATGTGTTGTCGCATCGCTACTTTATGAATTTTTTTTTTAAATGAAAATTTATACTAGAATTAGTATTTTAAAATTAGTACCAAAATTGTATGCAGTTTTTTTCTAATTTTTCATCATCTCAAAATTGATAATACAGATCATGGTTTACTTTCTTATATTATTAGATTATTTTTGTTATTTAGCGATTTATATAAAGTCTAGTAATGGAATAGAGCGAAAGTAAACGCGTTATTATCTTTTGAATCGTTTACTTTTGGTCAACGAGTCAACGACCAGCTGCCATGTCCAGCCTGGCAAGTAAAACTTGTCGTCACAAAGAGACAAACCAAATTAAACTAGAAACTTTTTTTTATCTTTTAATCTTACTTCACATGAGAATTTACATCCACCAAACTCTTAATTACTTCTCTAAACTATCTTAAAACCGATGCTTCAAAATTCAAATTATCGTATTTACCTTTGTAAAAAAGCTTAATTAGCAAGATAGTACTACTATACGTAAATAGAACAAGTGATTATTAATGAAATAATACAGTAGAATAAGTTTTTATAGTTAGTGGTTGTCATTAAGTGTGAGTCAATGAAAAGATAAGTACTAAATCTTGCAACCTACCTCACCAAGGAATTTAGTGGTTTCCCCTTCATTGTCACCATAAATAAACTAGCCACTACTCTGTTTACCCTAAAATTTCCCTCTTTTAGCTTAAAAGTCTAAACATTCCACACTATAATAAGTAATTCTAAACTGTGAAATTCTCCATACTTGTGTTCCGTACACTTGTTTCACTGACGGTGAAATCCAATATATGTGATTTGGCACCGACACGAATATTGGACTAAAGATATTTGTATTTTCCATAAATGGGTAAAATGAAAAAGGAAGATAAGAAAGGGAAGGAGGAAGAAGAAGAGGACTTACATTCTAATGACGTGGCAAGATGAGTTTGGAGGAAGAAAGGAGCAATCACAAGTGATATTACTCTCAAACTCTTTGGTTGTGTAAGTTGTTACAACCCAATTGCCTTCACCACTACATGGATCTTTGTTGAAGTTCCAATCTTTCTTCCCTAGCTTCTTCCCTATCTCCTTTAATGCCCTCACTTCTCAATTTCAAACCATAGCAAACAACCATCATCATCATCATCAAATATTAAGAAAGTGCTTTGATTTCTAAATTACTCATAGACTGAGAAGGCGATAGAGATGCACACACATATCCGGACAAGAGACAAGACAAGGAAGCATAATTTCATATTTGGAAACGATACAAGAAAAAAGTTTTAGAGAGTAGTTATAAAATAGTACCTTCGGCCTCGTGGAGTTTAGTGTTGTCGGAAAATCCAAGACGGCCATGGAAAGTTAGTGTGAAGAGGACGATGATGAAATATATGCGATGTAAGGAAATCATCCTTTTCTATACAAAATAATAAAATATGGTATCACTTCTTGGAGAAAGCTTGTAAAGAGATATAGAGAGAGAGAGACATTTAGGAAGTGGTGATGGATGAGAGAAGCTAGAGCAAATATGGACCACTTTTAGTCGTCAGGATTTAATAAGGTTTGCTGTACTTTGTCATGTTCTCTTAAAAAATATTGGTCTTCATCCCATTCTATTGTGTCTGTAATGTTATACATATATATTATATTAGGATCCAGTACTACTTTTTTTTCTTTCTTCGCCCCACTAGGACCCAGTAGTACTATACTTTTTAAATATGCTTTGCTAAGGTTTGACAGAGACCCTTCAGAAATTAAAATTCCAAGCGATTTTGAGATTAGTCGTCTATGGCTCTATGCATGTTTAAGATTAGTCTTATCTTTTGGTTTAAAACTAGTATTTGTATGCATGTTTTGAGATTAGTCTATACGTTTTGGTTCAAGATTTATATGGTTGTTAATATATATATATATAGATTTACTATTGTATTAAGTTCAAAAGTTGACTAAAAAGTTTTATCGGTTAGTAACTAAGTAATTATGTTTATAATACCGCTTTTGTCGGGCGTTTAGGAGCGACGCAGCTAGCGGCGGTTGGAGTCTCTATTGCCATATTCAATCAAGCTTCTAGAATTACGATGTTCCCACTTGTGAGCCTCACAACTTCGTTTGTGGCAGAGGAAGACACGATGGAGAAGATGAAAGAAGAAGCGAACAAAGCCAGTCTTGTTCATGCAGAAACTTTACTTGTTCAAGATTCCTTGGAAAAGGGCATTTCTTCACCTACAAGTAACAATACCAACCAGCCACAGCAACCCCCAGCAGGTAAATTCCGCAAATCTCACTCGACATTGATCACAACTTTTTTATAAAAGTTTTTTTACTGTTGGTTTCTTTTCTTCCCCCTTTGTTTTTTTCCAATTTGTTGTATTTTGGTTGTGTGAAACTAGCTTTGGATACAAAGTCAAATAGTGGAAACAAAGCGACTAAAAAGGGGAAGAGGACCATTAGAACAGCATCAACAGCTATGATATTGGGGTTAATCCTCGGCCTTGTGCAAGCTATAATTAATAGTTATTTTTAACAAGTGTAACAATTTCTAAAATATTTAGCCGGTAAAAAATGAAAGAGTACTTAGGAGTAGTATATGTATGGTATCTTTCTCCTAAGTTGATTAATTTTGAGCGGATAATTGAGTCTTGCATCAATTATTAGTTAAAAAACAAAATTGATTTCGTTTCAAAGACCAAATACGACATTGATATATATATATATATATATATATATATATATATATCATTACATTATTGGTTTAGCTTTTATAGACAGGGGCCAGTCATCACTTGGGAGCCATTACTCGCAAACATATGAGATTACGACTACTATAAAATAAAAAGGTAAAAGCAACCTTATAGTCTTTTCCGCTTGTTATTTTGTTGAGTCCTCGAATCATTTGGTTACATATCGTTTCCTACTTTGTGTAATGATAATAACAAAGAAAAAAAACAAATCGAGATTGGGTCTAGGGTGGGCACTTTGTATATATTTTGTTCACCTTTTGGTTTAAGCAGAATATCTATTAACCAAAAAAAAAAGAGAGTACCAAAGTAGCTTGTATTATTCGTATGCATATATATAGAGACTATATAGTTAACGATGATATTCCGTGATCGAGTCTTTGTTTTGTATTCACTTAACGTGGCTTCCGATGCGTACAACGATGCCGTCAATGTCTCTCACGTATCCAACCTTCTGACCCCATTCTTTGTCTTCCGGCTCGCTCACTGCCACCGCACCGTTCTCCACCGCTCTCTGCACAACGAACCATCTCATACATCCACACAAATTGAAGAGGTTGACAAATATAGAGTATGATTGAGTTGAGTTACCTTAAAAGCGGCATCAACATCGGGGTAACAGAAGCAGACTTCGATGGGTGCTCTTTCACGGGCTGTATGCGTAGCCTGAACCTTCCCGGTTAGGTCGTCGGTCTCATGCTGGTGAAGTGGTGTGAACGCTATTGTCGTTTGCCCGCTCTCTAGCTCCCCCCACCTGTATGTATCATTTTCTTTCATCCATCATTCATTATTATCCATTTTGTAGGGAAAAAAACGATCCGATCGTTTACGTAATGAAAGGAGTAACAATTGATGAAACAAACCTGTGGGACTCGTCAAGACGACGGACGTTGTGACCAAAAGCTCTAGAGTAGAATTCTACGGATTTAGCTACGTCCTTCACATACACAACAGTGTAAGCAAACGCAGGTCTCATCATATTCGCTGCCAATTTTTTCCAGTCTTCTTACGATTCTGATTTCGATCCGATGAAATCCTTGGAAATGCTAATCATCAAACCTCACAATACAGAGGATCTTTCTTTACGGTGAGCACAACACGTGGTCGACTACATGCAGCTTCGTGTGTAGGGTACTTGATGCCACGTGAGCTTTAATTTGCTCCTCTTTTGCTTTTTGGGTTTAAATTGGGCTTAATATCACAAATGGGCTTTAAGATAGAAGAATATCTGGTTATCAGTTATGTTGTGGCTTTTTAGTTGTTCGATGTGTTTTACACAATGAATGACGAAACGTCGAAAGCCATCTACGACCGTCGATATTTAAGAACCAACGATCCATATTCTTCATAAAGCTTTCACGCGGATCGCAATCTTAGACCGTTGAAAGAAGATGAATCCAACGGCCTACAATTTATGTCCTGCGTAGGCACTTCCTTTATAAAATGTCAATCCCCCATTTTACTTCTGGAAATTATACATTTCGTTAAAACATTTTTGAAGAGATTTCATTTCATAAAACGAAGATCAATCTTCAGGTAATACATTCATTTCTGTATTGCTTAGCGAAAATTTCATGTTATCTAAATTTCTACAAAGTTTTCCCGATTTGTTGCATTTTCAATTTTTTTGTTTGTTTGGAAAGTTTGATTATTCGATTCTCAATTCAATTGATTGATCTAGAAATCTAGGGTTTCGGTTCGTTACCAATTCACTGAATAAATTTCCTTTTGTTCTTCACAGAGATCTGTGAAAGTGTGAAGAGATGTCAGGAAGAGGAAAGGGAGGAAAAGGATTGGGAAAGGGAGGAGCGAAGAGGCATAGGAAGGTTCTGAGGGATAACATTCAAGGTATCACCAAGCCTGCTATTCGTCGTCTTGCTCGTAGAGGTGGTGTCAAGCGTATCAGTGGTCTCATCTACGAAGAGACCAGAGGTGTCCTTAAGATCTTCCTCGAGAATGTCATTCGTGACGCCGTTACTTACACTGAGCACGCCAGGAGGAAGACGGTGACCGCCATGGATGTTGTCTACGCTTTGAAGAGGCAAGGACGTACTCTCTACGGTTTCGGCGGTTAATCTGGAGATTAGGGTTTATGCAACTTTGGGAATTTCTGGTTTCTGAGATCTGTGTTAAAGATTTGTTTAGTCAAAAAAGTAAATCCAGGAGTTAGTTATTGTTTTCGTTTTTTTTTGTTGTTGTTGTTAGCCAATGTGATGACAGTGATGTAGTAGTTTATAATCTTTGCAAACTTTCTGCTCAGAAAATCTAATGCGAATGATGCATTTGCTCTTATTTCTTTGTCTTTCCCTCTTCGTATTTGGCACTAAAACAAAATGTTTGTGGAAAGCAATCAACAAACTCTAATTCACCATCTTTTGAGAAAATTTATGGGAAGCAGCTGCAAATTCTTTCAAGCTAAACTAGCGTCGAATCTGCTATGAGTTCATTTTGCCAGATGTTCTGTGGTATCATAGACTTGGAAGCAGTCAGTTATATTGCAGAAATGTATACAGGAGTGGAAGCAGAGGATACGGATTTCTCTCACAGGGAAAAAAGAGATTGTATCTCTCATCTGATAGAGATTATACCCAAAATAAATTGTCCATTAATCATTCTTCCAACGAAAACCCAAATTGGTCGACCATAAAAGTTTACAAGTAAAGAAGTATAAAGACTCAAGGTTTGGTTGAAACATCCATGATCTTTCTATGACGGGCTGTGTTGGAGTACCCAATGTGGTCATGTCCATGAACCAAAGTTAGAAACATTTTTTATCAAACCAAAAATTATCGTTTCGGGAGAATTAAATAGCATGGCTGAGTAAAGCAACAAAGTTAATTTCAGCTAAAACTAAGAGTCTAATAATAATAATGACTTCTGAATAATTTTCTTACTCCTCCTTTTGCTTAGCCGAGTGAGTGCGAGGTGAGTAGCGGTAGCCACTGGTGCACCTTCCTACAAACTTGAGCACTTCGTCTATCAAAATCACCGGCAGCGACACAGCCAGCACTAGCAGCCACTCGTTCAAGCTCAGCGGCACAATACCAAACACCTGAGCCAAGAATGGCACGTACAATATCACAAAGTGGAGCCCGAATGAGACCGCCATTGCCAGGAGCAACCACGGGTTCACCCACGGCGGCATCGTGACCAGGCTGCCGTCTTCTGAGAGTGCATTCAGAGAGTTGAACATTTCAATGGCCACCAACACCGAGAGGGAGAGTGTCGATGCTTTAATTTTTCCCTGCTGGAAATAGTCGCAAGGGTTTGAGTCGAATGAGAAAGTCTGAGATCCTGCTGTGAAAGGAGACACTTTGAAGCCTTCCCATGAAGAGCATTGGCCCCAATGTGCGAGCTGTGAATAGCTCACAAGGCTGTGACCGTCTTGGCTCAAGTCTATGCCCATGAAGCTGTTGTGTGTGTACCATATGATGAATACTCCCACCGTTGCTACTCCCACATACATACCAATCACCTGTAGGTACACGTACCCATGTTAGTCAGTTAGAAAAAGCCCCACAAGATGAACAAGTGAGACAAATCGGTATTTGCATACCATGTAGCGGAAGAGGATCCAGGCAGTGATAAGAGAGTCATCACTCCTACGAGGAGGCTTCTTCATGATGTCCTTGTCAGGGGGATTGAATCCCAGAGCCGTAGCTGGAGGACCGTCTGTTACAAGATTCACCCACAGAAGCTGAACCGGGATCATGCCTTCTGGGATTCCAAGAGCAGCTGTCAAGAATATCGATGCAACCTCACCGATGTTCGAAGAGATCATGTACCTTTTATTCATTCATTATAGTCAGATTAATATTTATAACTCAAGTCACCAATGCGAAGATGGGTATATACGTAATATTGAAAGACTCACCTGATGAAGGCCTTCATGTTGTTATAGATGGACCTGCCTTCACCAACAGCTGCAACAATAGTGCTGAAATTATCATCTGCCAACACCATGTCAGATGCCTCCTTTGCTACCTGCAAAATGCCCAGAGCTTTAGAAAGCTGATAGAGCTATCACCATCCGTGGTTGAAGATGAGAGAAGAGACAATACCTCTGTGCCGGAAATGCCCATAGCCACACCAATATCAGCCAACTTTAGAGCAGGAGCGTCATTGACTCCATCTCCAGTCATGGCTACTACTTCTCCATCTTCTTTAAGTAACCTGACAATCTCTTGTTTGTGTTTTGGTTCAGCCCTTGAGAACAGGAGCCCTCCAGTCTGTCTTAGATGATTCTTCTGATCTTGAACATCCATAAATTCTTTTCCTGTCAAGCTTCTCGAGGAGATATCTTCATCTGCTTCAAATACGCCAATTTCACGGCAGATCGCTTCCGCTGTGCTCTTGTTGTCTCCGGTGATAACCATGACCCGAATACCTGCTGTTCTGCAGTCTGCAATGGCTTGACGCACCTCTTTCCTTGGAGGATCCTTCAATCATTGAAAAGGTAGAGCATGAATAATTATTAATGAGGAACCAGAACGAACGAAAAATATCAAGGTGACTGTGACTCACCCTTAAACCAACAAATCCAACGAATACTAGATTGGACTCAATTGATGAATAATTGGATGGGTTGAGAAGTTGCTGATGAGCAGGATGGTCTTCACTGCCATCATAAGTGGCAAAATCTGATGGAACATCTGAGTATGCAAATCCGAGACATCTTAATGCGCTCAAGGACATATCATGTAGGCTTTGTAAAATAAGATCCCTTGAGTATTGGTCAAGCTCTCGAGTGGAACCATCAAGTAGCTGAATATGGGTACTCCTTTCCAATACATTTTCTACCGCACCCTGCATAATTTCAAAATTGGACCCTTAGGTGCTGAAAAAGAGGGGACAAAGGTTTTCTCGACTAATAACATGCAAGAACCAAAGCAGAAGCCACTTGATTTCCCAGGCTCAACCTCAGGAGGCAGGATATGATCAATGATAAAAAAACAGACCTTGACCAGTAGCAGCTTCTTTCCTGAGCTGGAATCCACCATAACTCCCATTGATTTCCGGTCACGGTCGAACTCAAGGGTGGCAATCCGTTGCTCTAGTTCACTCCATAGCCGACAACAACCTTCAATAATGTTAAAAAGAGGAAAAGTGCAGGAGGTTAACGTCTGTAAAACTGTATAAACATAAGTAACAGATATAGTTCAGAATACATACGTAAGACATCGCCATCGGATGAAGCTTCATTCAATCCTTCGGGAAATCCCATTTTCTCAACCAAAACCTGTTCAAATAAACACACACACCAGTAGAAAGAAAAACCAATTAAGGAAAACGAACAGAAGAAGTCTTTTTAGACAATTTAGTTAAGAAGAGAAAGGTGCAAGCTAGTGTAGTAGACTGCTTTACCTTCAAAGCTGCCTCAGTAGGCATTCCCCTAGACACAAATTGCTGCTCAGATTTGTCAACACTAGCATCGTTGCAAATGGCAGCAATTTTGGCAATCATCTGCAGATTTGCATCCATCCGACCTGCTGGCCAATCTTCAATCTTTCCATCTTGAGGATCAAACGAGGTCCCCTCAACATTGAAAGATCGAAGAGTTCCGATCCTCGAACCCATAGCGACGAGCTTTGAAACAGCCATCTGATTGGTTGTCAGAGTTCCAGTTTTATCAGAGCATATTACGGTGGTGCATCCAAGAGTCTCTACACTGGGTAACTTCCTAACCAGAGCATTCTTCTGAGCCATCTTCCTAGTGCCAAGAGCTAAACATGTGGTAATAACTGCTGGCAGACCTTCAGGAATTGCAGCAACCGCCAGTGCTACAGCAATCTCAAAGTAATATGTGCACTTCTCGAAGGAGAACTTAAAGTTTCTGGGCCAGCCATCAACATACTCCCATGACAGAAAGTATTTGACATTGATGAGCCACACTAACGCACAAATTAACCCAATGATCATAGTCAGAACTTCCCCAAACTCGTTAAGTTTTTTCTTCAGAGGGGTATCTTCCTCGTGTTGTGCAGCTTCCTGAATCTGTGAGTGAACCCTTCCAATCTCAGTATTCATCCCAGTGTCTGTAACTAAGCATATACAGTTCCCATTCACAACAGTGGTTCCTGCAAACACCATGCATTTCTTTCCTTGAATATCGGCATTCTCATCCACATGCTTGGTGGTTTTGCTCACTGCCTCACTCTCTCCTGTTAAGGACCCCTGCTCGACTCTCAGGGTTGAGCTGATCAAAGCAACCACGCGCATATCAGCAGGCACCTTATCACCAACCCTCAGTTCCACAATGTCACCAGGAACAAGCTCCTTTGCAGGCAAACTGGATACCTTAGTCCCATCGCGCATGACAGTCGCTTGCTGAGACTGAATCTCTTTCAAAGCTTCCAATGCCTTCTCAGCATTAGTTTCTTGCCAGATCCCAACAATGGCATTAACAATCAAGATGAGAAAAATAACAAGCGGCTCAACAAATGCGGTGATACCCATCTCACCACCTTCGTCGCCATCAAAGAAGGCCAAGACAAAGGAAATAACGGCAGCCGCCAAAAGAATACGAACCAATGTATCATTAAACTGCTCCAAAATCAACTTAAAAATAGAAGTACCCTCAGGCTTCTCTAACTCATTCAAACCATAGATCTGATGCCGCTTCAACACCTCATCAGTACTCAACCCTTTCTCACGACTAACACCAAACTTCTCCTCACATTCCGCAACATCTTTAGCCCAAGCAGGAAAAGTATCAGAACTATTCGTTTGCTTATTCCCGCAATCTTCACCTCCTTTCCCCATTATCTTTCACTGTCAAAGAGATCAAATCATCAAGAGTGTATTATACCCAGAAGAAAATCTATTTGTAAGCTTCAAGTTATACACTATGAGAAAACAGAGATTGAGACTGAAATTGAATAGTAAACGATTAGATTTGGAAAAATCTGAGAATTTTCGAGTGGCCGCATAAAAACAAATCAGAGATCAATGTCAAAGCAACAGATAACATACGGAGAATCCAAAACAGTCAAATTCCGAGAAAGCGAAGAACACAGACTACGAGATCGCAAAACAAAAAAAATACTCACCAGAATCGGAGGGAATAAAACTCCGTACTGTTTCTTCGATGCGGAAATTGCACGCCTCTCTCCAGATACTTCTCTTCTTCTTCTTCCACTTCTATAAGGAAGCCTTTACATATATATAATGGTTATATATATATATTCAATGTTGAATAATATATTTGTTTATATTAATATTCTTTTAGAGTTTAATGGCTTGTATCTTTCCAGGAAAGTGACGGCAACACGATCTGATAAGATATTGCAGTTAAGTCCTTTTCTTTTCTTTCTTTTTGTAAAGTTTTTTCGTTTGGTGTCTGTTACTTAAGGGACTATAAGTGTGAATATATTATATGTTGGGGATGATCTGCCAATTTAAAATAAGATTTTATTAAGTGTAGATGTACATTAAATGTGCGAATATTTGCTTTCGGAGAAGCAAATAAGATTCCAACGTCGATGGGATCTGCCACGTCACGTGGACACGGCGATCACATGGGACTGGCTCTGCCACGCCAATATTGACACGTGGTCAAATTTCATTGGTTAAAGGAGGAACTAGCTAGTTGCTTTTCACATTGAATCTCACCTTTAAATGGAAAGTCAGAAAACTAGTTTGAAAAAAGTATTATCTTCCTCATTTGCCAACTTGAATGACAAATATAGTTGTTAAATAATAATTTTTTAAGTTCAACTTAATAGAAAAGTATATATGTTGCCTACTTAGAAAGATAAGATGTCAAATAAAGCAACTATCTATATTTTGCTAATATCTATTAATCTTGAATATACTAGTAAAAATAGACAAATTTTGAAGAAAAATATCTCTCTGTTTTTATGCTGAAGAATGTGCAAGACAAAATTTATTTCTTTTACTTTTTATATCTCATTCACTTATATTTCATTCAGTTTTTGGACCATAGTAATATAAATATTAATTTTTGGACTGAATCTATATTGAAAACTATAAAATCATCATACAAAATTCTAAGTATATAGAAGAAGTGTGTAGGTGGATTATATTTTAGGAGTAAAATAAGCAAAGTTGATAACTTGCATCCCATTATTCCAATATGCATTTGTATAACGAAAAACACACAACTTCTTAATCTATAGTTCTTCAGTTATAAATTGTAATTTCGGAGTCGTGAGCATATACAACATGTTCAATGAGTACATATCATTTAGGTACTCAACAAACAATACATATGTATACACGCAATACTAAAGACTCCAAACATCAAAACTTCACAACATAGATGCATATATATTGGACTACTTCATAAATCAAAATATCATCTTGTTTAAAGCGTTATTTATCACACAAAGTTTAAATATGTATAAAATCATAGTTGGATTAAGCTTTAGAATGGATAAAATACGGGAAGTTGATGACTTGCAGCCCATTATGCATACTTTACTTTAAATTGTTTTCTATATACAAATTCTCCGGTTAACGTAAGAATACTGATCAATATCATCTTTTCTAGACCCAACTATGTTCTCGCTCCGTACCCTTCTTGTTATACTTCTCTTCGCTTTGATAGCGATTGTTGGATCCATCAACGGTATTACACTATTACTCTTATCACTTAGATACATCTACAAAACAATATATGCATTTGTACCTTATAATATGTGGCATAAGACTGAAAATGAGTTCACTTGATTAAAAATTAACTTACGTTCACAAATTAGGGGAACCGGGGTGTGGTGGTTCATCTCCCACCTGGGAAGACATGCACGACGAACAAGCGCGACAAAGTTTGGACAATGCAGACAAGTTTGGTAGGATCACTCTCGATTGTGAAACTACTGGTGGTGGAGGCAACGGTGCAAACAACGGTTTCGTGACGATTATAGACCTATCCTTTGGTCTCTTCTTTTTAATTTTTGTCGCCATTGGAATCTGGTTTTTCTGCGTCCGAAGACAGAAGGCCATCAACGCAGCTATTGTCAACTCCTCTCAAGGTAATATGATACAACGTTTTTTTTTTTTTTTTTTACAAGGTAATATGATACAACGTTACAATTCCAATTTCCAACCAAACAAATAATTTCAATCACCCTTTTACTTGCAAACCGGCTGGATTGCGGGGTTTTGTCAGATCATTGATTTTGTATTTGGGCCTAATGATTACATAATTGGGCCGAATTATTGGTCGGATCTGTCCGGAAAATTTAAACACTAATTCTACAAGAGTTAGAACATGCAACGGACGACGTGTATGTAATTAATTTTGTCGTCCAATCATGTTTTATTTATTGAAATAGTCTGAAGAGTGTATAAAATTTAATAGGACAAGTGGGAGCTAAAGAAGGGCTATGGAATGGATGAGAAGACGAAAACAGTTGCCATGACCATGAGTGCTCCAGCAGGAAAGCTTTCAAATGGTGACACCAATGTTTGATACCAAAAAGAAAAATAAATGTTTGAAACAATCATTGAACTCGTTGGATCTGATAATCTTTCTCTTGATTTCTTTCTTTTTTTCTTGTCAAGATTTTGTTTTGCTATAAATGATATGATGATCGTTTCTGCTGTTGTCGTCCTTGCATTACACATAATTTCAAAAGCTTGTGTAACTAAATACTTTATTATCTTTAATTTTTTTAATTAGAACTTATCCAATAATTGAAATAATGGGGGATTTAAAATTATTACGTGTTAGTTAGAAATAATTTTATATCCAGTAACAGAAGATTTTGATATTTGTTTTTAAGAATTCCACATCCAAGAAGGGTAGATTTTAGAAAGGAGATTGATAGGTGTCAATTTAGTCTACTTCTTTTAACTAAATATGTACATATATAAAGTTTCACATGCATTTCAAAAACTTCTCTAAACATTATACTAAAATGTAAGTAGATTATATATTCAATAACATCAGATTTGAGAAGATAACTATGATGTAAAAAAAAAAAAAGATATCTATGAATCATCAATTGAATAACAAAAGATTTTTTAAAAAGATCAAACTCATCAAAAATCTTAATCCAATACACCTTTAAATACAACAGTCAATTTAATCAGGAATCGAATACTATTATATATCTCCTCTCCGATAAGACAGGACCTTAATGACCTAGACTTATTGGTATTGTCAAACTCTAAAAAAAATAGTTTGTGTAAATTATTAGATTTTTTTTTGAATTATTGTTGTATAAATTGGAAGTTTGTGTTTTTCTTTACTGGAAATCTGTTACTAGCTACTTGAAGTACTAAAAAAAAATTCCTTACATTTTAAAATTAGAGGAGTTTTTCTTTTTTCTAGTCAAACGAGACAGCCTAAAGCTATAATCAAGGGAAAAAAAAAGACAGCCTACCAATCGGTCCACAAAGCACATCCAACAACTATTCGAGTTATCCAATTATCAGTTGGTAATAAAAAAAGGTGAGCAGACGCAAATATGCAAATAGAGAAATTACTATACATAGTAAAGTTTTCTCTCACGTTTATGCGTATATTTTCCATATAGACAAAACACAAGGCGACGACACAATGGCTTCTAATCTTTTACTCATCGTCGTCCTCGTATTTGTGTCTCTCTCTTTAACTTGTGGACATTCTCCTCGTACTTTGAGAGATGCTGCAAAGTAAGAACACCTCAAAATCCTTCTTTATTTTTTCACTTGTTTTTCATATTTTTTTTTTAAAAACCAAGAGGTTGTGGGCCTAAGCCTGTAATCTCCTCAGGCCCAAAATCACATTAGTTTCGTCCCAAACGTCATTCGAACTGGCGACCTTTAAGCTTCGGCTAGGATCTTTATCAGTTGAGATAACGACACTTAGTCACTTGTTTTTCATATTACTGCAACTGAAAACAAACATATTGTTCTGCTTTCTCTCTGTTTTAGACAAGACGATGATTCATATGTCATGGCTACGAATGATCAAGAATCATCGATGGTCGTTGTTGAAGATATAGTAAAAGGTCGTCTTCTAGCCAGAACGATTGTGAAGAAATCAGGGTCAAAGAGCCCTCCAAGCAAAAATAAAACAAAAGGTTTCCTAAACTAAAGGAAAATTGCTTAATTTAATTTTATTATGTTTCGACCAGATATTCTTTTTAGTACATTAGTTTTGATACAGTATACAATCTTAATTAAATTGCAGGTTCGAAGAAGAAAGAAAAGAGTAAGAAAATAGGAGCACTGGATCGATGCTCATAGCTTCATGTTATTATGTTTTGATCATATATATTCTTTGAAGTACATTAATTTTGATATAATAAACCAACTTGATTAAAATTGCAGGTTTGACAAAGAAACATAAGAGCTTTAAAATAGGACCATTGAATGTTGCACTTGGAGTCTTTATCGGAATCATCATCGCAGCAGTTGTGGTTTTCATTGTGATCGTTGGTATTATATGTTTTTTTATAGTTTTATGTATCAGGCACAAAACAAAAAAGGCTCAAAGTACTGAACAAGGTAACTTAGTACTACATTCTCAATAGATTAGTTAAGTTATTAATAACTTGCTAATACATTTTTGTTGTTGTATAAAGGTACTGCTACTGAAAAAACTAATGGGTCATCGGAAAACCAGACTTCTAAAGCAGAGGAGCATGTCTAAACAACATCATTGCTATCATTACCTTGTTGGGAGCTCAAAGATTTATTTCATTTTTCTTTGTGTGATTTTTTTATTAGTTAATCACTTAATTCTGTGTTATGGCTTTGAATTTACGATGTGTATATATTGAATTACTGCTCCTTTACGAATCTTGAGTTGTAAATTCTGTGTTATGGCTTTGAATTTGCGATGTACATATATTGAATTACTGCTCCTTTACGAATCTTGAATTGTAAGGACAGTATCAAACTCAATAATAAAATTTGATTAACAAATTTCAAAACTTGGTTTGATAATGAGTTTGATTACAATGAAACTGATTTTTTTTTTCTTTTTTTTTTTGACATTGGAAGATCACTCCATAAAAAAGAAAGAAAAAAAAAGGATGTAGAAGATCATTTATATTTGAAAATATCTTAATTTAAAAATATTTACATTAATCTTTATAATATTATTTACATTTATCTTTATCTTAATATTTATCTCCGAAAATAGAATTCTTATTAGATACATTACCCAAGAAAATAATGAGTATTTATTCTACACAAATTATATTCTACTTCTAATTATATAATTATTTATTGAAAATAATAATAAGTATTTAACGTCGTAGACTCGTAGTAGCGCCATTTGTTGCATGGGCCTATCTAATCTAACTAAGATACGAAATTTGGATTTGTGGTTGAAAATAGGTCAACACGATAAATAAAAAAAAGTCAAAATTTGTATGTCATGTGGTGGTGGTCTTTGCCATGGCTGACAAAGCCGATACCAAGTTCGTCTGGCTTCTGAGTTCCGTCCCAAGTAGGACGATCCAAGCAAATATCGAGAAAAACGGTTAGTACTACAAAAGAATGCAACTTTGTTTCGAAATTTCGATCCTTGGAGTTTCAAGATTGAGTTTTTTTTTTTGTTTTTTTTTTGGTTTCATCCTTTGGGTCCATAGTATTGACAGGTCCTGCTTCGTTTGGCTGTAGATTACAAATCTGATTGCTTTAGGGTTATTGTCTTTTTGCCGATTTTGGGGATGGTTGATCTTTCAATTGAATCCTTAATCTGATTGCTGACATTAGAATGTTCATTCCAGTCTTGTCTTAATTCCCATCTAGTTGGTGAAAGGGTTTAGATTTTGCTTGAAATTTATGATTCAGATGCGTTGAAGTTGTACTGTTTGTAATTCTGTGTTGTACTCGGATTCAAAGTTGTTCCCTTTACATAATTACATGTCATATTCTGTTTTGGTTATTTCATGCCTCACCATTGAATCCTTCGTTTCAGGCTAATCAACAATTTACGAGAGCTATCTTTCGGTCTTGAGTTCACTTAAAGGGTCCTTGCTGGTTTGCTTATGAGACTGACTATTGTTTGTGGAGTTGAATAATATCTGCAAATGTCAAGTCTTCTTAATGTACTGCCACATATCCTTTATCTCAATGTGTTGCAGTATTACCAATGTAATGCAAAAATGACTCCTTTCTTTGGCTCTCCTTCTAAATTTTAATTTTTGATTCTCATTTGCAGATATATCACTGTAGCTCTCATGGATACCCAGGACTCACTAGTAGGGGATGTATAAACACTGTTGGAAACTGTAGATGGGTCTGGCACAGCGGTGGAGTCAGGTTGTCGTTTCCAAGAGCCGAGTCTTCATCCACAAGTATAAACATCGCAATGGGTTGTACGTTTCAGCGTGGGAGAGCAAAAAGCTTAAGTCAGGAAAACATAGTGGAATTATCTGATGAAAATGATGATCTATGTCCTGTGGAGTGTGTCACTGAGTTCAAGACCGATGATGAATTGCTTAGAGTCCTTGAAAAGTCGAAAGAAACTAATTCTCTGGTCGTGGTTGATTTTTATCGCACTGCTTGTGGGAGTTGTAAATACATAGAGCAGGGCTTCTCAAAACTGTGCAAGCAATCTGGTGACCAAGAAGCTCCTGTTATCTTCCTTAAGCATAATGTGAGTATTTGATCTCTCATCTTCGATTCAAACAAGAGAGAAGTAGTGAAAAAGTCCATTTATAGCTCAAATGCTATTGCAGGTGGTAGATGAATATGATGAACAATCTGAAGTCGCAGAAAGGCTCCGTATCAAGGTAATCCCTCTTTAGAATTTTGGTAGATAACAACACTCAAAAACCGAATCATGTAGTAAAGAGTTTGATTTACTACAATTTTACAGGCGGTTCCTCTCTTCCACTTCTACAAAAACGGAGTTCTCTTAGAATCATTTGCAACTAGAGACAAGGAGAGAATCGACGCTGCTATTCTCAAATATACATCCTCGGAATCTTGAAGCACATTAGATTAAACCGCATTCTTTGGGTTATCTTTCCCAAAATCATTGAATATGATGTAACTATATTGAACAACAAAGCATCCTTCTTCTTGTAAGATGTGATAGTGAATAAGACAGATGCAACATTTTGATCTGTTTTCTATTTTTGTTTGCCTTTATTGCATCATAACCCACATATTCATGTGCAAAATCTGCAGTGATAGCTTTCATACTTAGCTTACTACTTTGGTTACTTGATAAGTATCTTTTGGTCCCAAGATCTTGAAACTAGATTGCAACTTGTTGCATATGGTATGATAATCAAATCCTATTTGACAAAGAGATGTACCAAACTGAGGAGGATCAAGCAACTTCGTGGTTTTAGTGAAAAAAATTAAATTGTATATTGTATTATTATTAATTATAGTTTTTAACATTGACTATAATTATTTAACCTAATTCCTAGTTACTATAATTATTGACAATTTACCTTAAACCTAATTCCTAGTTACTATAATTATTGATAGTTTACCTTATAAACATATTTAATTACTAATAAACCCTGAAATTAAATAAAATTACTATGTAGAGAAAAAAAAGGTCCCTTTAATTTGTTCGCCTCCGAGGACGGGTCCAAAACATATTCGACTAAAACGGTCAGTTCTACAAAAAAGATCAGATTTTTTTCTCCGATTTCTTCTCCACCTTGGAGAATTTCGATCCTTGGAGCTTCAATTGAGTTTCTTTTGTTCATCCTCTGAGTCCATATTCTTATCAGGTTCTTATTCGTTTGACTGCAGATTATAAATCTGAGTGCTTTAGGGTTTTTGTTTATTTGTGTGGCATCCTTTTTTTGCCGATTTCGCAATGGTTAATCTTTCTCCTGAACCCTTAATGTGGTTACTGGCATTAAACTGTTCAATCCAGTTCTTGAAAGGGTTTTGATTGTTTGTAGTGTATGATTCAGATGCGTCGAAGTTGTACTGTTTATAGTTCTGTGATGAATTCAAAGTTTATCCCTTTCCATGTATTTACTTGTCTCACCATCTAATCCTTCGTTTCAGGCCAATCAACCATTAGCGACTGCTATCTCTCAGTCGTCCTGAGCTCACTGAAGGGTTCCTGCTTGGCTTGCTTATGAACTTTTGCTTGTGGAGTTGAAAAATATCTGCAAATGTCAAGTTTACTTAATGTACTACTGCCACATATCCTTATATCAGTATATTGCAGTATTTTCAATCTAGCTTCTAGGATATGTAATGTTTATTAATCCTTCTGACTAGTGATCATTTCAATGATATCCTCAGTCCTCAATAAACGGGTCTAACTCGAATTTGTCAGACGGTTCAGGGAGAACGTTTACTTCTTCTTTCTCCGGTCAGTCTGGGGCAGCTTCTCCAGCTTTCCATCATGCTGGTGGGTAGACGCTTCCTTCACTATTTCTGTCGTAATTCTTCTGAACTTATATTGGTTGTTTTCTTTTTATAGGATCTATTCAGGGCCTTCATAATATACATGGAAACTTTAATGTTCCCAACTTGGCGGGAAGTCTTGGATCCAGAAATTCAAGTCTAAACGGTGTTCCTTCTGCTGGTGTCCAACAACAAAATGGAAGTATTTCGAATGGAAGATTTGCATCCAGTAATATTCCGGTTGCACTCTCTCAGGTGCAGTCATGCTTATGTGTTGGTATTCGAAAAATAATGCAAAAATGAACCCTTGCTTTGGCTCTGCTTAAAAGTTTGCTTTTGGATTCTGCAGATATCTCATGGTAGCTCCCATGGACACTCAGGACTCACTAATAGGGGAGGTATAAATTCTGTTGGAAGCCTTAATTCAGTAGTAACACTAATCGGTTTTGGTAGTTCTATTCCTGAATTCTTCCTACCTCTACTACCATTGGTAATTGGTTTACTGTACCAGGATTGGGAGTTTCTCCAATTTTGGGAAATGCAGGTTCTCGAATGACGAGTTCTATGGGGAATATGGTTGGTGGAGGCACAATGGGTAGGACTTTGAGCTCTGGTGGAGGATTATCGATTCCGAGTCTTGGTTCGCGGCTAAATCTGGCAGTAAATAGCGGATCCGGAAATATTGGACAAAATCGCATGATGGGTGGGGTCTTGCCACAAGGTACTTCATGATTTATATCCTTTTCTGCTGTTTGTTGAAATAAGTTACGCATTTGTATGGTTTTAGTTGATTTACAAATCTGTTAGTAAACATGATGTCAAACCCTTTATCATTAAATGAATAACACCGGATTTCATCTAGTACTTAGAAATCATTAATCGGATAATATATGATTTTGACAAAGATTTTACAATCAATGACCCAATAACACATGATTTTGTTTGGATTTCCAAATCAGTCATCTCCAGTAACCAAATAACTAACCTCATCTTTTTTCCAAAATTCGCGTTTCGTCACATTTTTATGATATCTGTAAACTCTTATATTCTTTCCTTTCTCTTCAGGATCTCCGCAGGTTCTTTCGATGCTAGGAAATTCTTACCCTTCAGCTGGAGGACTTTCCCAAAATCATGTTCAAGCAATGAACAGTCTAAGCTCTATGGGGTTGCTGAATGATATGAACTCCAACGACACTTCTCCGTTTGATATTAATAATGATTTTCCTCAGCTCACAAGCCGCCCCACCTCTGCCGGCGGTCAAGGACAATTGGGTAAGTAATAAAACCCCTTTAATTCTATCTTCTTTCTTTTATCGGTTTTGAAGCAAAACTATACTCCGCCGTTTTCTGAAACTTCTTAGGGTCTCGATTGAAACAAGGCCTTGGAATCAGCCCTATAGTTCAGCAAAACCAAGAGTTCAGCATCCAAAATGAAGATTTTCCAGCATTGCCAGGATATAAAGGTCCTCCTTTTGATCTGCAACTTTTTCTCAATTATGTCCTATTTGTGTGCATTATGGAATTTGAATTCACACCCACCTTCCACATTGGCATAATATTTGGTGTTGAGAGACTAGAGAGTGATTTTCTGATCACACCCAGCAGAATTACTAATCATCTTCATGATCCATTGTGATGTTACCATCTTTGATTCTCATCAGAATACTAGTACAGAGTTCGTCTATTAAATTGTCCAACACGTTCATGGTGTCTGCATCCAGTTTATTTGTTGTTCGTATCAATAGATTTCGAATTAATGTATAGTGACAAGATTGATCGGTTTATTACAGGTAGTAATGCTGATTATCCAATGGATTTGCATCATAAAGAACAACTCCATGAGAACTCAGTTTTAATGATGCAATCTCAACAATTATCTGTGAGTATCAGCTTGTCTTAAAATGTCATTGGGTTTAATTCTCTTCCATTGAAACTTTTCCTCAAAACATTTACCTTATCCTCTAGTGCGGCTACTTGCAGATGGGAAGGTCTGGTGGGTTTAACTTAGGTGGAGCATATACATCACACCGTCCTCAACAACAGCAACAACATGCTCAAGCTGTGAGTAGTAGTGGTGTTTCCTTACATGGGTCTGACATCTTCTCATCTTCGCATCCGTCTTACCACTCGCAGGTACGGTTTAGTCTGAAATATTTGAAAACAGGCTGCGATCATTTGAGGTCAATTTCATGAAACCAACATTCCTGTTCTTTCTAAAGTAGATTTGATTGGTTTCAGATTGGTGGACCTCCGGGTATTGGATTAAGATCTATGAATTCTGCAAATTCTGTCACTGGGATGGGTACTTATGACCAGCAGCTCATCCAGCAATATCAGCAACAACAGAACACATCCCAGTATCGCTTGCAGCAGATGTCAGCTGTTAGCCAACCTTTCAGAGATGGGGGATTAAAACCAATGCAGGCGACACAGTCAAATCCTGATCGGTTTGGCTTGCTCGGTTTGCTCAGTGTGATAAAGTTGAGCGACCCTGACTTGACGTCTTTGGCCCTTGGTATTGATCTGACAACACTGGGGTTAAATTTGAACTCAACAGAAAATCTTCATAAGACTTTTGGCTCGCCTTGGTCCAATGAACCCTCTAAAGGTGATCCAGAATTCAGTGTACCGCAGTGTTACTACGCAAAAAACCCTCCACCTCTACATGTAATTCACTCTACTCTCTCATCAGTACCATCATTCACTTGTCCGTCTGGGTTTGTGTTTTCTTATCATTAGCTGTTTTTAAATTTTTTTTTTTTTTTTTGGTGGATGCAGCAAGGGCTCTTTGCAAAATTATTGGTAGAAACATTGTTTTACGTATTCTATAGGTATATGTCTTTGGAATTTATACTAGTTGTCGACTCACTCTCTTGTCAAAAGAACCATAACGATTTTTGTTGTGCAGCATGCCGAAAGATGAGGCGCAACTATATGCGGCAAATGAACTGTATGTCCTTTTCATCATAATATCTTTTTTGTTTCTCTAGTATTGTAAAAATGAAAATACTTCTTAGTTTTTAGGAGTTTTTAATTCACAATTTTCATACATTGAACTTGGAATATAAATTCAAGATGAATTGGTCTTCACATTTGAAGAAGAAAGGGAATATGAAAGCAAAACATCAACTTTTGATTCCATCTTTCTTCTCCATGACTTGAAAATGGGTTTCTGTCTTAATTTCCTGCTTTGGTATCAGATTGCAATGCACTGAAGAATAAAGCTGCATAACTCTTATTGTTTTGCAGTTACAATAGGGGTTGGTTCTACCACAAAGAACACAGGTTGTGGTTCATTAGAATCGGAGAACCTCTCGTGAAAACAAATGTATATGAAAGAGGATCATATCACTGTTTTGATCCAAACTCATTTGAGATCGTTCAAAAGGTGAGTACATCCAAGTTCTGCTCATCGATTGTATCTTTCTTCATTTGGCCTCTGAAGAATACCCAAAAATCATCTCTTTGCAGGAAAATTTTGTTCTCTATTACGAGATGCTGGAAAAAAGACCATCCCTATCTCAAGATTCTCAACATTGAGTGTAAACTTTGCCGCCTTCAGTATTATAATGTAACTTTCCTACCAAAGTATCCATTGGTTAGGAAATCCATAGAACAGGAACCAGTATCCAACATGTATCTTTCTCGGATTTTAGATTTTTGGTTTATTTAACTCCTGGTAACTTTTGTTGTTCATATATAGCTGAAATTTCTTCAAGCTATAGATTAAACAATGCATATTTCTCCCCCCCATTCAGAATCGGTGTTACAGTAATGTTACTCTCTTCCTTTCTGCTCTAATCCTTATTTGATTTCTCCTGTTCAAAGCATCTCAGGTAACTCCTCAATACCAGTGCCTCACCCGGATCAACTCATTGAATCAAGTCAGAAAAAGGTACATCAAGTTCTTGCCGTGTACATAAATGTGAAAACGGATCGAGTATCGTCAAAGTCAGATTGCATACATTTTCTTACACTCGTTCTGGAGAATATCAGAATCCGTAAGCTGGGGAATCCCCCAGGATCCAGATTTACTGTTGGAGGATCTTCTAATGTTTCTTAAATTGGCAGCTTCGATCTTGTGCTGTATTATCCAGTAGCACATCGTTCCTAACGTCGTGATCATTATAGTTGCCCCAATAGCAGTCACCCCAATGGCTAGCCACTTCTCTTCTTCACCAACAACAACAAACGACAAAGCCAAAAAGGCAACAGAGATGAGAACACAGGCAAGCCACATGAGTTTGTTTATCACAGCCATCATCTGTTTCTTGGCCTTGCTCTCTATTACCACCACTGATGTCTGAACCACCACAACCGCTAAGGAGATGAAGAGTGCGATCGAATCAAAGATGAAGAATATTATGAACGGAGTCGTCGATGCAATATTCGCCTCCCCAAGGGAATGCCCATCTGGAATTTTACTTGTGTCTTCTACATACTGCCCTGGGACAGTGAAAATTGCTGCAAAAGCGACCGTAGCAATAAGAACAGCTACAACAGTAGTTGAGTTTATTGCATTGTTAAGACCTTCTGTGTGCATTTTGTTAAGCTGTTTGGCAATTCCTTGAACACGTTTTCTGGTCAGACGTGTGTGCTCAAGCTGGTTGTGAACCTCATGCTTGATATCGCTTACGGTTTGTTTCAGCTCCCGAGCAGGGTTAGGCCCAGATGGCTTAATGGTCTTGGCGCTGGGAACACCATGTTTCTGTAAGATAAGAGCCACTTCTGGATTCCCAATTTTCTCTGCTGTGTCAAGTGCGGTTTCGCCTGATCGGTTAACAGCTTTTGTGTCTGTCATGTTGTTGGCTAATAGCAACTTAACAATCTGAGATCTGCCTTTTCGGGCTGCAATGTGCAACGCTGTGTTTCCCTTTGTGTCGGCTATATTGATAGAAGACCTATCCGCTTTGATAAGCTCCTCCACGACCTCAACATTTGTTCCTTTAACCGCCATGTGAAGGGCTGTTTGGCCCTTCTTGTCCATCCTTATTGCGATCGCGGGTTCGGATGCCAAGAGAGCCTTAATGACTTTGACATGCCCGTTCCTTGATGCAGAGTGCAGGGCCGTCTTACCGTTGCTCTTGGCAATTCCAGCAAGGCTGCTTCCCAATTCCAATAGAAAGTTTACCACTTCAGTGTGTCCTTGTGTTGCCGCTGTGTGCAATGCTGTTGTATTCGATAGATCCACAGTCATCGCTAGCTCTGAATGAGCCTCTGCCAAAACCTTCAACACATCTGTAAAAGTCCGAAAAAGCTAATCCTTCAAGATGCAATCGACTGGTTTTATATGGCGATTTTCAAAGGGTTTTACACGTACCGAGATCTCCTTGCTTTGCAGCAATGTGGAAAGCATCAAATCCGTTCCTTGCTTTGATCTCAACGAGAGAAAGATCATAGCAGTTGATCATCTCCTTGACAATATCTACATCACCATACTCTGCTGCAACATAGAGTGCGGTTTCGCCTGATTGGTTCTGTTTCCCCAACAGCTCATTCAACTCAGACTCTCTGGTTTTCGTAAGAATCTCAACAACTTTGTCTTTGTTTCCGCTTCTCACGGCTGAATGAAGCAGAGTGTCTTCGCGTTTTCCGGTTAGCTGTTTCGCCATTTTCTTTTTTGGCACGCCAGAACCCGCCTTGGTGTCTTCTTCCCCTTCCATCGTTGGATACAATCACAAAACCCTAAGAACACCTCTTATCTCAAAATAATTCCATGAAGCGATCAATCATTCTCTTTCTACAAGGCAAAAAAAAAAAACAGATTATAAACTGCACATTCTGATTCTGGTCTTGGTTATGCAGACAATCTTTGAGTTCGATTTTCTACCTCTCATATCATTCACCCAGATTATTTACTATTATTGGCCTACGACGATCATCATAGGTAACGATAAAATATTTTAGTTACATCAAAGTTTGATCGAAATATGTTTCATCTCCAAGAAAAAAAATCCAATTCATGCGGAAAATATAAAAGCAAAATCCACGAATTGAATATTAGCAGAAAACTTCAGTTCTATTTCACATCTATGAAGCAGCAAAAGAAAAAAGAAGAATGATTGATCATACCAGGTCTCGAATGGTCTTCTCCAATGAAGAAGCTTTGAATACATACAAGAAAATGTACTTTGAATATATAGCTCTTGTGGATGATACTTTGAATATATACGAGAAAATGTAATGACAAAAAAAAAAGCTTGGTGCTCTTGTTAAAGACTATAAGAGAAGTAGAAAGAGAGAAGAAAGTGGAAGAAACAAGATTAATAAAGGTTTATAAGAAAATGGAATTTGGACATGAGAGGCACATGTAAAGCAACGTCGATCACTTTTGTATGTGAATCCATCAGCCAATAAACGAAAACGAATCTATAACATAAATATTTGTGCAACTTTCTTGAAAGGTAGTGATCATGACACCCTTCAAGCTTATAAAATGTTTTTTTTTTTAATCTCTACTTATTATTTTAAAATTGTTTGGTTTAAAAGATAGCAAGTAAAGTAGATTCGTTTCTTAGCTTTGATGTATGATCGTTTCTATTAGTGGTTTGGCGATTAAAAATAAAATTTAAATCAGTTTATGCTAATAAGTTTGTAATCGTTCATTTTTTTGCAAGTACTATCCACTCCCTTGACCTTTCACATTCGTGTGCGCTTTAGCTTTTTTTAGTTGTTACATGTCACTTCATTTTTTTTTTTTGTATCGAAATTGCTTGCGATAATGTCATCAACATATATCAAAAGAAAACTCCCTCAGAATAATATTTGGTGAAGAGTAATGAAATCCAATTGTTGCAGAAAAGTGGAACAGTTTAGACTTCATTGATGAGTTTGTTTCAGCCCATAAAGAAAATTTTGAATTGTCTATATATGTATCTTTTAGATAAACAGCAGTTCTAGTTATGGTGATATTTGAAAGAATGTATACGTAGATAAATATGTCAATATTTGAAACTGAATTATTGTATATGACATTAAGTATTCACATTACTCATTAAAATTTTGTCATGCTCTTTCACCAATCCATTCCAAAACTCCACTATATATATGAGTGATTTATCATTTGCTCTAATAATACTAAAAAGAAAAGTAACATTAAATTTCAGAAACGTTAGATAACATAAGTCTCCGACCCAAATAAATAATGTAAACTTCTCCGCCACGGCGCCACCTCAAATAATAAATGGCTTTGGTTCGGCGCAATAAATAGAAATTCATTAAAATAAAATAAAAAAAACAATTAAGTTTAAGATAAAAGTGAGTGAGAAACAGAAGAGGTTCTTGCAATTGCAAATAAAGAAGCCTACAAGTAGCTAGACACCATTAATTCATTCTAACCACTTAAATATGCTGCTTTTATGTTATTGGTAAATGGTATACATCATCAGGTCTGTGCAATTCTCTAAAATCTTCTGTCACTATTCTCTTATTCCTGTAACCTAAGTCTTCTAATTCTCAAAAATTCAGTCACTTATTGACCACCATGTATATAATAAATATATAGCCAATCCAAGTAAATTTTTTGTTACAATCAACAACAATCAACAGGACATGGTGCATTATCTCTATTTGACTGCCCTGCTGCTTCAAATGTTGTTTATTCTAGAATGATGATAGAGGGAATGATATAATAAGTTTTATCAGAATTTGTTAAATATGTGAATTTTTAAAGATAATTTTTTGGATTTACGGATTAATTATTGTGGACCCTTTTTTGGGGTCAAAATTGTTGTGGACCGTTAATATTAGATTATGATAGTGAAATCTAAACGGAAACAATATTTTCTAACAGCTGAAAAACTTGTGAAAAAAATAAAGAAAACGATCTACAAGTAGTAAGCATCAACTGAAGAAAACAAATTTTAATTTTGCTAATTTTAGGTTTGAAATGAAATAATATAAATTTTATTGTACTGATAAAATCATCATTGGTTTAGATAATTGTGGCGGCTGGATTATTTGATTAATTAAGCTGACCTGTGAAAAACATTAATTATTTTGGTGAATATATGGGACCTGAATCGGGTGGTGAAATCAATGCGAATTTAATGTACATCCTACCAAATCAACTCTCTTTTTCTTTTTTTTTCCACCAATCGAATGCTGACACATAATCTTTTAATTTTCATAAAACAGTCAAAATGCATATATGCAACAGCTGTCGAGCATAGATTAAGACAGTTTTCATAATCATGAACACTGATTTATTGTTATCTCTCATATAAATGTCCCACTTATTTCACAGTAATTTCCATATTTCTAAAAGAATAGCAAAATCCTCATCACTCTAGTAGCTTTTAAACCGTTTTTATTTTTAATAAAATATTTATATATTTAAACCAAAAAAATGTAAAATCCAAAAGAAACAAAAACCTTAATAACTTACTTAATACAATATTTCACCGTAATTTTTAAGATGAATAAAATAAATTACAAGACGTTGCAAAAAAGAAGAAGATACAAATGATAATGTTCTATTTTAACAACTAAAGTGGCATGAACATGTAGCGTGACAAGCTTTAGTTTGTAACTAAATATGTCACAGCAAGCATAACATTAAAATTTTCGGGGTATTATTATTTACCAAAGGAATACAATAAATAGATTATTACACCCCAAAAAAAATATTTATTAAAAAAATGAGAGAAAACTATATCGCAGTATCTTTTGTCATTCATATTTTCTTTCCCATCCAATTAGAAAAAAAAGAAGTAAAACGTAGCAATTCAGAATCCAAAATAAAAAAATAAATGAAAATAAACTATATAGTCACCTTTGTGTGGGATTTGCAGTTTTTTGAAGTAGCTGTATATGTTTACATTAATGATTCCAAGAAAACTTCACATAAATCCTTCAGGCATCTTGAAAGTATCAGGATCTTCTTCTTCATGGATCCAACCATACTTCTCAAAAAATGGATTCAAAATCGATTTTGGTGGGTACTGATCAATGCAATGATTCCACACATTCCCTAGAGATTCTCCAACATTGAGATCTCTCACAACTTCCCAAACGCAACTATTGCACTTGAAACCTGCCCCAAAGCTGATCATGAACACTCTATCTCCTCTCTTCAGCCTCTTCTTTGCCTCCATATATCCCAAAACATACCACAAGCTACTCGCTGACGTGTTCCCAAACCGGTGTAGCGTCATCCTCGCCGGTTCTAGATCGTACTCGTTTAAGTCGAGGCTGTAACCGATTGCGTCTATAACCGCTTTACCTCCAGTGTGAATGCAGAAATGGTCAATACCGGTCTTGAAGTTAATCCCTGCTTTTATCCCTGCCTTTGGAGCTGCCTGAGTCACGTTCGTTGAGCCTTTGCTAGGGTTGCTACGAAGCTTCTTGAGAAGAAGGCACAACATAAACCTTAAGAGCTCGGTTACGGGAAGAATCTTGGGAGTGATGACTTTGAGGTTGTCAATGAAAGCACGAGTCGCCGCTTTTGGAAGAGTCTTGTCTAAGTGGACACCGATATGGCCTAGCTCGTCTTCTTTTTGGACACAAGCGTTGTATGAATCGTCTCTGGCTCCATGGTGCGTTCTTACCAAACACCTTAGCTTGAACATAGCTCTCCTGCTCAGACTTCGCTTGTTCGTCAAGAGAACAGCGCAGCCACCGGAGCGGAACAAGCAGTTGGCAAGGATCATGGACCGGTTGTTTCCGCTGTACCAGTTAGGACTAAGTGACTCGGAGGTCACGACAAGAGCAAGCTTGTTCTTGTATGTTTTGAAGATGTTTTTGACAATATCTATGGAGATAACACTCGCGCTGCATCCCATCGCGGTCAAGTTGAAGACTTTTATGTCCTCTCTCATTTTGTAATGTTTAATGATTCTTGCAGATAGTGAAGGCGTTGAATTGAGCATTGAGACGTTGACTACGAGGATGTCAATCTCCGAAGGTGAGATTTTGTTTCTCTCAAGGACTTTCTCAATTGTGTCTATGTAAAACTCTTCCATCTCCGAGATCCCATCTTGTAGCGTAGGACGCTGTTCACGGCCCTCGAAGAAGAGCCTTGGGGCGTAAGTTTGCTCTCCAATACCGGAACTAACGATGGCTTTGAGGAGGAACTTGTACTCGTTGAGACGAAGGTGTTTGTTTCGAAGGATAATATCACCGCTGAATTGAGTGCTCACCATACGATCATCGGAAGGTTTGTGACATTGGTAGTCCAAGATGTAGCAGTTCTGATCTCTCTTGGAGTCTATGTGTTTCCAGATCTTGAAGATGAGATAGGAGATGAGAAGAGAGGAGAGCATAACAAGAAGATCCATTATTGTTTTTATTGGAGTTAAAGAGAGAAGTGATATAAAAATGCAGCCAAGAGTGTTGTGGGATATATAAGAGGACAGTGGAGCAGGAAAAGACAGCTCTCATTTTTTGACAACTCATTCCGTCCAATAGATTATGTCAATATCATTGGTAAATTCTCCGGGGTTAATAAATTTAGGAGACTTAAATTAATTGGAAAAGTTACATGCAAGGACAAGGACAAAATTTATGGTAAGAAACTTGAAACAATAAGATGGCACATTGATGTTTGGTGTAGAAAGTGGACGAGGACTTGGCCTGTCTATTTAAGTATTTATTGATAAAGTCAGGAAGTTTTACACACACATGCACCAACGAGTTATTGTGGATAGATATATATATTGTATGGGGTTACACTAGAAGGACATTCAAAAACTGTATATCCGATATGTAGAAAAATATGTGAACTTGAATGATGCGGAAAAGTGGTACTCCTTAACTTGATATCAATATTAATGTAACTTTGATATGTGAAAGCTATTAAAGAAATAACAGAATAACCTAGTAGAGATTGGAGTTTGGGTAGTAAAGTTAGGACTGGCAAAGTAAAATTTTGCACCAAGAAATGCAATTTATTCTGGCCATTAGCAGACCGCCAATTGTATTCGATTCTCAAACATTCCATTTAAACCACCACTAGTCAAACACTGATTGTCATACTAACTTGTGTCATACATCAAAGATGACACATTGATGTGGATGTGTATTACTAGTACAATGCTAAGAACTTCGCCTGTGTCTATTTATTAAGTTTAATACACGCGGAAATTTTTGGTACGTTGTTCTGAACTTCTGACTTTTCTGTGATATTAATTATATTATACTTTTCTGTGACATTAATTGTATTAAAGACATTTCTAATTAAAATTAGTTTTCATCTTCAGTTATTTAAAGATCATCCGTAAAAAAAAAGAATCATTTATTTATTATGTTTCCTAAAAATTCATGATGTGAAATAGGATTTCATAAGCTAGAACACACGACTGTATCGATTGACGTTTGTTGGACCAAATTTTTTAAGTTTAGATATATTGGGTATCAAAATTAATTTATATATGGTATATAAAAAGTTTGAGGTTGTAGATGAAAGAGCAATAAAGAGATTTGGTGAGAATGTGAGTATGAAGAAGCAATATACAGGTTTAAGAAACTATGAACTTTTTTGGATATAAGTGAGAGTGTTGTGATGATAGCTCTCATCTCAACTTCCACCAACTTAATTACGTATCTCTCTTTTACTACAAAGCCATCAACGTAACGCTTATTCACAATATCCGCGTGCGACTACGTCCTTTACTTTTTCTCTTATTTAATTGATCGATTCAAATTCATAACCATCTCTTTTAATTCTACAAGACTTACTAGCTCATATATTATTTTATACACATATATATTTGAATTTATTTGGACGCATGCAGTATATATATGTTGTCATTGACGATCACGCGTTTTATTGCGTGTCAACTTGCTTTATAAAAATGGTCGAGAGGATTTGCATGCAAACACTTTGTGAAAGCGTTAATTAAGAGTAGTTTTGAGGTTAGTTCTACTTCTAATAATGGAGTAGGAGTTAATGTTTGCCGGTGTTTTTAGTTAGCTGGTCACTTCATTTTATAAGTTTGACTTTTCTTGAAATTATCCAAATAAACTTTTCATTTTATAAACCAAACTTGTCGATTCGATTGCTAGCAAATGGGGAGATGACACTGGTTCATCATTTACGTGTGATTGAATTATTAATCATATGTCTCTTTCATTGTGGCTTAGTGATTAAGTGTCCTTGTATATTGCTTTTTTTTTATTATTGTTTTTTGTTGTTGTGCGTTTTTTCATATTATAAACGGCTTTCAAATTAAGTGTCCATGTGTTAAGACCATTTCTTTCAAACCTAGAACGCAGGAAAAATATAAAAATGACTAGATTTGTTGTAAGACAGTGAGATATATATGGGATGGTAATATTTTTTATGCAGGCAAACCATAGACAAAAAGAAGCAGTATGCATGTTGAGATGTTAACTCTGAATTGATGAGTCACTTTAATTTTATAATGAGATGTTAACATAACATGTTTTTGTTTTTATATCAGAATTTAAATTAACATGCATGTTGCCACTGAAAAATTTAAGACAATGGCAGATAACATCGTGGAAAAACTGGTATACGTCTCCTATATATGTTAGCATTCGGAATACTAAAATAAATCCATCATCATTAAAGACTTGTTCATCTAACTACTTAACTTCCAACCACAATTCTTTTTATTTTCCTGCGGCGAGTCATGGCCTTTTTTAGCAACGATCCATATTATTTTGTCGGTCCTCTATCATGATTTTTTTCTTTAATTTTTTTTAAAAGTCAACTGTACTATTTTTCATAAATTTTGCTTACAGTAAATTTTGCTTACAGTAAATTTTCCTTTTCCGTTTAGTAAAAATATGTTTATTTCAACAATTATACTTAACTCAAATCCGCCGCATGGCTAAACCATGTTAACAACAAAGTGCGTGTTTGACCACACGGTCCACACACCCATACCACAACATTAACGAAATTTTTTAAACCAGCCATTTGTTTAAACTACACGTTATGGGTTTGAGAAGAAAAGTTTGAAAAATGTGATTTAGGCGTGAGTGTGAACAAACACGTACAAGAAGATGAGATCAATATTCAATAGAACTCAAGCGAGCACAAGTACACACACTCATCTGGAAATAGCAAATGGAATGTGGCCTTTTTATATCTTTTTTTTTTTTTTTTGGGCAAAAGGCCTTTTTATATCTAGGGTCCTATAATTTGAACTCTTAAAGCCTAAAATTGGTTTGGGCTTTTTAGCCTAGGACCAGGCGGCTATGATTCGTTGACATGGAGCTATTACTTCAAATCCGTCGAATGGCTTTGGCTAACCATATACTTCTTAGTTTTGGATACGGGCACGGATCTTTCTAAACCAATATATAGGTCGGTTATGTAATTATTAAGATCTTCAGGGGTAAATCTGACAATCTCACATGACCCGACCGGGTATTTCTTATAGAAACCCGTATACCCGGGCATGAGCTTTCTCGCTACGGAGGCTTGGATCTCGCCTCTCAGGTTCGGGTCGGGTACGACCCAAGTCTTGTGCTTCTTGTAAGCCTCTTCGAACGCCTCGTTGAACCGTCTCAGAGACTCCTCTCTCTCCGTCTCCGCCGTTGAATCTCTGGGGATCGACGTAATCACATCTCCCCACGCCATTTTCTCGTATTTCTCGAGGTACTGACTCACTTTAACCTCGTGATTCGCTACCCAATCGTCTCCGAGTACGACTCTGAGGTTCGATGTACGGACCTTGGTCACAACGTAATGGAGGTTGTTGGCGAGGAAGAGATACGAGAGAGCCGAGTCGTTGTAGAGCCGAGATTTGGCGTCGACTTTGCAGAGCAAGACGAGAATCAACCACGCGAGTCTCGCCGCCATCGGAGACCGACCACCGGATCCTGGATTTTCTTCGCCGCTGCTGCTGAAGTAATCCTCCGGTAAAGGTAACGATGACTCCTTGAGAATTGTAGCGAGAGAATCGCTGTAGTCTGCGAGGAAGACGATGAAGTTCATCACATACCTCGTGAGCTGGTGAACTCCGCCACCAGATATCGCCGATTTCGACGACTCTTTCGTAATCGACGATTGAAACTCCGTCATCATCGCATTCACCGATTCCGATAGTTTCTCTAGAGATTCATTCGCCTGTAATCTAACGGCAGCGGTTGAATCGTAGCTGAAGATCTGATCGATTTTGGGAATCAGATGCAAGATCGTCTGGTAAACGTCAAGCGTGGGGAAGATTTTCTCTGCAGTTTTTCTGGATTTAGCTACGGTTAGTGAGAAGATGAAGAGGTTTAACGCGCTCTGTAGCGTAATCTCCACGAAGCAAGATTCAGCGACGGCGGAGGAGAAAATGTGATCGGAAAGGATACGTTCGCCGTTGAACAGAGTGTTGATTGCTACTCTCGCAACCCTCACCCATATTTTGATCTTCTTCTCCAGAATCTCCCATTCCAGTTTCTGCATCTGCGTAGAGGTTAACTTCTCGAACCCTAGATGAGACAATGCCTCGACGATGATCTTTTTTCGAAACTTCTTGTATATTTTAACACAATCCTTCTCGTAACCAGATGAGATCATGCAATTTGCTATCATCTTCAAATCCACAATGGCATCAGAATTTCCTCCTCCTCCTCCTCTGTCGTTACCTAATTCCGAAGAAGATTCGGAATCATGTTCTCCATCTGATGAAGAATCCGAAGCGGTTCCACTTGATCTCGAAGGTGTGTTGGATTCAGATGACCAACCAGAGACGGATTCTGGACTAAGAAAGCGGCGATTCGATTTCAAAACCCGGTAAAACTCCTTCTCCAAATGCTTCATAGCTTTCCGCATCAAATCCTGCCCCTGAGCGAGTTTAGCGGAGTCTGGATTCATAGCAACGGTACTCTGAATGGCGTATTGTAACCTGCCGAGAACCTCGAGGAAGCGTCTGCCTTCTAGGCGGTTTTGAGCGGAGAAGAGGGAAGAGAGGCTGCATGAAGAAGAAGAAGAGTCGTAAAGGTGTGGAGTAACCCATTGGCATATGAAGGCGTCAGCTGCCTCCACACTATCGCCGATTAGAGACTCGGAGAAGCCTTGTTTCTGTTGCGGCCCGAGCTTAGAGGATTTTGTTAAGGCAGAGGGTTTCAAGAGCACCATCGTTTCTTGGGTTTGAAGAAATGGGTCTTAAGGTGTTGGGGTATTTATCTAGCATCTTCGGTTTGTTACTTCAGCGACTGTTTTTTTGTTGAGCCGTTGGGTCCAAGTTCGTCAAAATGTACACGTTGGTCATCCGTATATTTCTCTCATTTTGTTTTCAAATACGAAAATATAGAATAGCTGTATAGTCTTTGATTTTGGGACAACGAATTGTTTGTGTTAAATTTAGACTGAAATTTATAGGTTGTGTGAAGTTGTATGGATAAAACACATATGCATGTATTCATCATTGTCTTTTCAAATTCTAAATTTAGAGGTATAGTTTGTTAAATGGATAGTGGCAAATAACTTTTTTCCTCTGTTTTTGTTCTGAAGAGTACAAGTTGGAATTAACGAGGGATTTGCTGTCAAATTAATAGGTGTTCACGTTTTCTTACAATTCAGGATGACAAAAAAACATAAAGAGAAGAGGAAAAGAAAAACTAGTAAGAAAGATAAACGGTGCACTCCAGAACAGTCTCAAGCCCATCTGTGAACTGGTGCGGCTGCTGCTGCTGGGTCCCGGAGGAACCCGTAAAAGTCTTAACGATGGCGTAGCCTCTCGCATTCACATACTTACCAGTCCCACCCATGACCCCAAGATGAGATTCGGATGCAGCTGTTCTATGCACACCGAAGAAACTGATGCTATCTTCATATCCACCACTCTCAAACATAGCCGTGAAAGCCATAGTCTGGCTGGTTCCATCAAGGGCACTTGCCACGTAGAAGCCTTGGGCTTTACCCAGCAGACCGGACCCGAGTTCGTGCCCTTCGGTTAGTTCGTTGTCCATCACCGTCAGTGTCCCAAACATGAGCATCTGAAGAGACGAACCCGATGGGAGCTGGCCGCCATTAGCCACGGGGAGACCGTTCAACATGTTGTTTCCGTTGTTCTGTAGAATGTTGGAAGTGGTTCCGCCGAGCCCGACGAGAAGCGGGACGTTGTTGTTGTTCAGGATTCCATTGTTGTTATTGTCTGTTGGAACGCCGTTACTAACAGGAAGGTTTGCGCCGTTGGGCTTGGCGAATGGAATTTGGCCACTGAGGGCTGCGTTTGCAACGACTCCAGTCACAGCCCTGGCTGTCGGATTTGAGCCGCCGAGTATATCATGCATGAAGAAAACCAAAGTGTTGTCGGGAACTGAACCACCAATCACTGACCCGGCACCTGCTCCCAGACCCGTAGCTGCAGCACCTGAACCAACAGTAGGAAAAGGCCCTGAACCTGCACTAGGCAAGGCCCCCAGTACGGGACCTGAACCAGTGGTTGGTATAGGACCAGAGCCAATAGTAGGCAAGGGACCAGAACTAGCAACCGGTAAAGCACTAGAAGCAGTGGTTGGTAGAGGTCCGGGGCCAGTATTGGTAGTCAAGGGACCTGAACCACCTGAGGCTGGACCTGTACCTGAAGCGATACCAGTTGCAGGATCTGAATTAGCAGAGGGAAAGGAGCCTAAACCAACCGTTGGTAAAGGACCAGGACTTGTGGTAGGCAAAGGGACCAACCCAATATCTTCTTCTTCATCAAGAAGCCGACCAGCTGAGACAAAAGTAATGGCGAGAGCTAATATCAGGACGACGAGTACTTTGTAGCCTGCCATTGACAAGAAGAAAGATCAGAGACTAAGATTGTTAATTTGAATTTGAGTTGAATTGTTTCTAAGTGTGTTTATATAGGTTGATTCTAGAAGAGCATTTATATATAAAATGAAGCTATATTGGTGATATAAGAAGATGTAGTTGATGAAACAGAGTAGGTGACATACTGACAACTTTTCCATTATATGGGTGGTTCGGTTTAGAGAAGAAACATAATTAAAAGGAAAAAAAAAACCAGAAAACTTCAGGCTATTACTTCACCACAAGATCTTGAATGTATCAATTTAGAACTTCCATTGTGTGACTTAACCAAAGCTTAAACATTTCAGGTCTCTAATCTTAATAAGGCAAGCTTGCAAATTTTCCCCTCAAAGCAATTTTCTTGAATCAAGAAGAAAATAAATTCATCCACCCTGTAACATTTTAACTCAGGAATAAACAAGCATGAGAATCTCACCTTTAAAGTGTCACTGCTTAGGCGGAAATCACTTCTAACAAAGCCTCACAATAAGCTCCTCCATCCTTGATGCAGAGATCACAAAGTAGATTTTGCCAAGCACTATATCCAAAGCTTAAATTTTTCTTTCCCATCACCTCTAACACAAAGCAAGCATGGTCCAAGTTACCACCTCTTATCAGCCCAGCAACCATACATACAAACGTTGCAGGTGTGGGAGAGTGTCTGCTTGCAAGCATAGCATTCAAAACATTCAACCCCGAATCAAAATCCCCAATACGACAAAACCCATCAACCATCATACGATATGTAGCTGCATTTGGTTTACAACCTTTCATCTGCATTTCCGTCAGCATTCTATAAGCCTCGGGGACTCTACCCTCAGTGCAAAGATGGTTTACCAGAATGTTATAGATGACAACATCTGGTTTGATCCGTCTTTTCTTCATCTCGCCGAGTAGAATCTTTGCCTCATCGATTTTCCCTCTCTTTCCGAGATCACTCATCAAAACCCCGTAGTTAACGAGACCAGGTTTACACCCACGATACTCCATATCAAACATCAACTTCTTTGCTTCATTGTAATCTCCGTTACAACATAAACCTTTCATTAACAACCCAAATGTCACAGCATTCGGGCGTATTCGTTTCTTAATCATATCTTCAAGCAAGCTCTTCGCCTTACCCATATCGTTATTTCGGCATAAGAATCCAATCAGGCTATTGTATGTCACAACACTCGGTTGCACTTCCATCTCAAGCATTTCGTCGAACACTTTACATGCAGCTTCCCAATCGCATTTATCAAGAAATCCTTTGATCAATATATTGAAAGAGACCGAATTGGGACGCAAACGCATATCCTTTGCTCCGTCGAAGAAGCTTTTGGCCTTTTCCAACTGGCCGTTATCGACCAGAACGTTGATGAGAGTGTTCAGAGACTGAATCGTACGAACACAATCAAAGGAGGTCATTTTGTGGAAAACATCGACGGCTTTATCCACCGAACCAGCTTTCCCGTAATGCTGAATCAATGCCATGAAAAGGGATTCTCTGCACCGGACGTTTCGATAGCGAACTAGGCGGAGAATTTGGTCGACAGCGTCGAAGTTACGGGACTTGGCAAGCTTGTAGATGAGAGAAGAGTAAGATGGGTAGTCGTGTCGGAAACCCATTTCTTGGTAATGGTGGAAGAGAGAAAGAGCTTCCTCTGGATCTTCAATTTCTTTGAGATCGGTGAGAAATGGAACCTCCTCCCATGGCTTCCTGGTGAATTTGTGAGTTGGTTCATGGCTGGTGGCTTTCTTTGTGGGTTTGTCAGGTCGAGAAGTGTGGTAATGTAGTCGAGACGCGATGCAGCGATTGGTAATTAGAACATAAGATAGTCTTCTACGCATCGGATTCTCTTCGTCTTCTTCCTTAGCTCTGTTTCACCTTAAATATGCCCCAAGTCGGAAAAAACTAGAAGAAATGTGATTTCTATATTTATATTTTTATTTGTTATCAAATATCTGATCCTTATATACACATCGTTCATTTGTTAAACAAATTTTTAGCATAAAACATTTTATCTTGAAGAAAACGCTATTGAATGTTTCCGTTGTTGCAGTATAATTCTACATTTGAAAACCAAAACAAGAATCCATCTGGTCATTGTTTCTATCCTCATTTATGGGTGGTTCTCTTCTTGCAGATCCAGATGATGGGCGTAGATAGCCAATGAGGTTTATAAACATTGTTGATTCTCCTTGCGAGTCATGGTCTTCACAGTCTGGCCTGAAGGCTATAAGGAAAACAAATACGCACAGAAACTGTAAAATTTAACTAGACGAATCTGAACTAGGAGATGGGGAAACATTTGTTTGGTTAGCAAAGTACCATGGAGGTGTGTTTTAAGATGGAGATGGTGCAGTTGCTGTTCTTATGGTCACGTGATTGCAAAAGTCTCACGTGTGGGATGCTTTTCCATGTTTCCCCAAGAGCTGGTTTGGTTTTACCACCTTCTCCTCCAGCCCCCACCGTGTGATTCGTCACCTTCAATACAAAAGGAGAGACAAAAAATAACTTAACTATAAAGCACAATGACACACTTAATGGCCTGAAATTTCATTAATACCAGTATAGCGATGCTATGTTCATGTGCCAGCTTCTTAAGCAAATATCCAATTGCCACCATCAAAGCGCGTCCTGCACACACCAAATTTCTGAGTCATTCTTCATAATCACCAGCTCAACGGTTGACCATTTAGGTGAAGAAAAAGTGATGGACATACAAGAACATGTACCCTGTGAGCCACTGCCTCCAAGGATTGGGGTAATCAGAGAAGAGATTGAATCAACAACTAACAACCGTAGTCTGTACTCATTCACATTCATCTACACGTGAAAGAGATAGATAACTCATGGTTAACACTAAAAATATAGACATTAAAGTGACATTGAGGAAATTGCATCTTTTAGCTAGCTTAATACCTGCGACCTCAAAGTAACCTCTAGACCTTGCAGCGTATCAAACATTGTATAGATGTCATAGACCGTGTGAAATGATATTCTGCTCATGACTTTCTGCACATATACGTTTCTTGTCCATAAGATGAAAAAATGAAGAATTGATGATTGGTGATTGACTAAAGAACTGGGTCATAGTCTAGGGGACAAGAAGTGTCAGTAAATAAACCTGTCCTAAAGTAGCATCCGAACTGGAGCAGATAAATTGAGCAATGCGTCGGGCAGAAAAAGAGTTCCCTGTGTCTAAATACAAGACTCTGCCAAGATGATTCTCTGCCACACTCGCAGCAGCTTGCATGCAAAACTATTCATTCATAAGAACTCACACAATGTAAAGAGAGCGCAAAAAAGCCTAAGCAAAGACAACACTTTCTTCTATGAATAATGTTTTTTTCACACACAAGACAAAAACACGAATAATGAAATGGCTAACAGAAAACACATACTTGTGTTTTACCAGAAGAGGAAGGTCCAACAAGTTCTGTAAGCTGACCCTCACGGAATCCACCTTGAAGCAATGAGTCCGTACCTTTGTCTCCGGTGGAGAGAGTATGTTTATTACGCTGTAGATCCTCCAACAGTTCTAAACCATTCAACCATGGCCGACACTGAAGTTCTATCAAAGAAAGCATGAGAGTGATACCCTGAAAAAATCCAAAGGAAAACATGTACCTTTGAGCACACAGAGTCAAACCTCAAGAATTGATTTGAGCAAATCGACAGTAACGTTAAGTAAAAGCTAACCTCTTTCAATCTATCTGCATTTGTATGTCGTTCAGAAAATGCAGCAAGTTGGTAGAGATCATGAAGAAGGAAATCCTCAACTGCAATTTTAACAGATGAGAAAAGCCATCAACACAACATAGAAAAAGTAATCCTTAATCTTCTGTCTACAACTACGAAACTTAGAAGCAAACTCGATTCATGATTTGTATAGTGTATGCAAAAATCCAATTCATTAATAGAACCAAGAAAAAAAAAGAGGCAATTCGTCGAACACCTTATGCGTAAACGATCCAATATCCAAATTCAAACACCTTTAGAATACGAGCTCTTCGAAAACTGAAATTCGAAACTGTTTAAAGTAAATTTACACTAATTGGACTTAAGCAATTGTGTTACTCATGTACATATGCCAAACACCGTCGTTTTTTGCAGGAAATCAAACAGAATCGATACGAGAAAACGAGGTAGAAGAAGAGAAGATGTAGAACAGAACCTGTTAGAATTCCATGAGAGGCGCAGAAATCTCGGAAACAAGCGTCGATGATTGGATTTTCCTTCTCCAGATGTTTGAGAGGCGCCATTGTTACACCTCCACTGCCCCAAATTGGAAGAGAACAATTCAATTAGCCTCCGGTTCGTTTTCACAACCCAGACCCTGAATCCCGGTTTACCGAATCTAATGTGCTTGCCAGCAGCGGTAACAATCGGAAGCCGACCGCCGACGGAATGTTGCGAAAATCTGAAAAAAACAACAATCGTGTTTTTGTGATTATTTGAAAAACCCATTGGTTGGTAAGTTGCGGGAGTTGCTACTTGCTACTCCCTCCGTATTTTAATAAGTGTCGTTTTAGGATTTTCTTTTTTTAAAAATTAGATGTCGTTTTCAAATTTCTATGCAAAATTTCTTACTTTTTAATGTTTTATGATGTCATAGAACATTAAAAAGTAAGAAATTTTGCATAGAAATTTGAAAACGACATCCAATTCAAAAAAGTAAAAATTCTAAAACGACACTTATTAAAATACGGAGGGAGTATAAGGTTAAAATTGCATCACCCCGTTCCCGCTCTCCTTTAATTGGACCCGATACCCATCAGTTTATTTTGGCCCAAATGAGCCCAATCACTAAAGGAGGGTTTGTCGTTTGTAAAGTGTGCACGTGTCGTGTATCGGTTGTTTGCTGGCAAATATTTGAGAAATTTGCGAAAGTGTTTGAAGATTTGCAAATATGTTTCCTTTTTATTTTTATTTTTTTATTCACTTTACAATTATTATTTCATTAATTACAGTTAATGTTTGAAGATTTGCAAAGTTTTAATAACATTTTTTCATATCAAATTTTCTATATAACTTAGTATATTGTACAAATCCAATATACAGAAAGAAATATTTACAATTAATAAAAACTGATTTGTTTTAAAAGTTTGATAGTTTATCATAATTCTATGTAATTTTATTTAATTATATTTTCAAGAAAATTCTAACATGTGACACAATCTAAATACGTGTTTACACAGTTTCATAAAAATATTTTATCACACAGATATGAAATGCACTAATGTTAGTAAAAAAAAAAAACAAAAAAATCAAAAATACAAAAGACACTAGCTAAAAATCACATCTGCTTTCACAAAAAACAAAACACAATGGCCTATTGCAAAACATTACTCCATCCCTTAATATCTTCTATATATATAGCTTCACCATCCTTTATTTTTTTGAACATCTCATAATTAAAATCTCAAACATATTCAAGCAATCGGAATAGAATTATATAAAAGGGAGTTACGAAGCTTATAAGATATGAAGTTTACTACATTAGTATTCATCGCCTTCGTTTTGTCATCTCTGGCTCTGACCAAAACAATGATTTCGGGGGAAGAGGTGAAAGCGGCATGCGATTTCGCAAAGTTCCAAATATGCAAACCGGCGATAATAGCTGGAAGCCCACCGTCGGAAGAATGTTGCGGAAAGCTAAAAGAACAACAGTCGTGTTTGTGTGCTTACGTGATAAGTCCATCAATTAGTCAATATATTGGAAATGCTAAAAGACTCATAAGGGCTTGTGGTATACCTTTTTCTAATTGTTCATAATGTTATAATTATCAAAATCATATTTGATAATGTTTATAATTGGGAGTTTGTCATGTCATGGTTATTGAGATGATTCAATAAAATGAACATTTTTCTTATATACTTTAGTAAGAACAAAAACAAACATATATATCAACTAACATATAAAAAAGAAGAGTTAATCACTAGTTCACTACGTATATAATTCAACATAGGTGAGCAAGAAATGATTATATGCCCATCTTGACTAAAAGAAACCTAGTAAGTATTTACCATTCACATACGACATGTCACGACCGTGGTATGAACCAATCTCTAGTTTTACTAACAAAATCCCACGAATTAGAGGTAAAGTCATAGACTTGGTACTCAGTTTGAAATATGATACATCGCCGATCCATCCTCGAGATTTTGTAACAGGAGGATTTGTTATTGTAGTCGAGACTCGAGAGCACGCATAGTTGATCTTGTATGAATTCATGGGTTGGATTCACTTGGTTCTCCTGAACACGGATTCTAAATCACAAGTCTGTTGTCTTTGGTGCATAACAAAAGTGTACATCAATTTCTTCTGAAAATTTAGAAAGAGGATCTTTAAGACTGAATTTACTTGTTGCCTTTACAGATGATTAGATGAATCATGAAACAGCCCTGATAACCAAATTAAGGAGACTGCTTTGGAACTTTAATTTAAGAGAGTTCTTCTTAGCAAGTCATCATCTTTTCATATCAAAATTTGAAAGAAATTATATGTGCTAAAAATAACAAAATCTTAATATGTGACACATGTAAATGTCTTTGAATTACAAGAAAATATGTGTCACATAGGTATGCAATGCTCTAAATTTAAATTAAAAAGATAAAATTCACTTCCTAAAAGCGCACTTGCCTATTGAAGAACATTACTCCATCTATATAACTTTCCCATCCTTACACATCTCACAACAAAAAAAATCTCAAACATTTTCTAAGCAAAAAAAAATAAAAAAAGAGAAGAAGAACTAGAATTAGGTTGTGGCAGTTGCTAAAGTTATAAGACATGAAGTTCATCACTACATTAGTGGTCATCGCCTTTGTCATGTCGTCTCTGGCTCCGACCAAATCAATTAGAGTTTCGAGGGAAGAGGAGAAAGTGGCTTGCATCGAGACAGATCTCCAAGTATGCCAACCAGCGTTAGAAACCCCAAGCCCACCATCAGCGGAATGTTGCAAAAACTTAAAAATACAACAGTCATGTCTATGCGATTACATGGCAAACCCATCGATTGAGAAGTATCTTGAACCCGCTAGAAAAGTCTTTGCGGCTTGTGGTATGCCTTATCCTAGGTGTTGAATTTTCAAATGTTTATAAAATAATTATCAATGTTAAAAACTGAAGTTATCAAAATCATGTGTAACAATTAATGTTGATGATTGGGAGTTTATAATGTGATGGTTTAACTTGATTCAGTATGGTGTTCGTTTTGAGTTATATATATTGTTTTACAAATACTCGTTAACTTCAAGTTTGGTGGCAAATCGTATGAATTTGATAAGGCCTTGTGCGTACTATCTCGTAAAAAGGCTCATATATGGATCCTAACGAGAATTGTACATCCATGTGCTGATGTCAGTATACAAATATAAAGCTTTAGACCTTTAGTAGATGTGAATTTTTGTTTTAACAAGAATCGGTCCAGAAAGAAAAAAAAAACACTCGTTTTTGGAAGCAAACGAGAAAATTTAAACAGAATTGAAACTAGAAAACAAGTACATGAAAAAGTTAGAATCAAATGAGAGACAAATTAATCTTGAAAACATGGGTCAATGATCGAATTCTCCTTCTCCAAATGTTTCAGAGGCACCAGTTTTACACCTCCAACTAGTATCCCATCCATTGTCATGTCCCAAACTCTACATCCCCGGTTCACCACAATTTAAAACCGAAACCCGGTTCACCAAAACCAAACAGCCTGTAATTATGTATAAAAATCATTTTCTTATTTTTTTTTATAGATTTACAGATCTCTCACTTCTTCTTTTTTTAATTACTTTCCAAATAAATTTTATTTATATTAAAATTTTGAAGATTTTTATAGATTTGAAATCATTTATTTATATCAAACTTCTACATAAATAAATGTATATATACATGTGTGAATTGATGGATTTTATTTCCTTATAATTAAATATTTCCAGTTTTTATAATAGGCAATGCTTTCAAAATCTTGATAGTTTAATTCCAATAATATGTGTCACACGTAGCTATAAAATGCACTAAAAATTTAATCAAAGAGACTTGCCTATTGCAAAACATACTCCATATCTATATATATAACTTCATCATCTTTAAACAAATCTCATAATCAATATTTCAAACATTTCCCAAGCAAAAATAAAAGATTAGAAATTAGATAGAAGGAGATACTAAGGTACAAGACATGAAGATGAAGTTCACTACATTAGTTTTCATCGCCTTTGTTCTGTCTTCCCTAGCTCCGACCAAAGCAGAGGAGAAAGAGGCATGTGTCGTGACAGATCTTATAGCATGCCTGCCAGCAGTAACAGGCGGAAGCCCACCGTCGACAGAATGTTGCACAAAATTGAAAGAAAAGCAGTCGTGTTTTTGTGAGTACATGAAAAGCCCATTGGTTGCTCCATATATGACATCTGCTAAACAAGTTTTAGAAGCTTGTGGTGTACCTGTTCCTGTTTGTCAAAGTTTCTAATATTTATAAATAATTCTTAATGGTACAAATATCATAATCACATGTTTTTATCATGTCATCGTTATATGAACCTACTTCAATATAGTGTTCGTTTTCTTATATATAGATCGTTTGATAAATTGATAACATATTAACTAACGATATTAAAAAAGTGAACCATTAGTACTTGTTTACTTGTTTTTTTTTTTGTTGGAATTTCTTTTTGAAGTTGAAATTTCTTTGATGCTTAAGTTTAATATTAAATCAAATCTATATTTGAAGGAAGACAAATTTGTTTTGATTCAATTTTTCCAAAAGCTAAAAGCAAGGAAGACTAATAAAATATAGAAATGTTGGTTTCTTTTATTTTTTAACAAAGAGAACAAGAACCAGGAAAAAAAACAAGGATTAAAATCAAACCACTAAAACACTAGAATGTTCCTTGAATCACAAGAAAAGTAAAACCCTCAAAAATCTCTGAGGGAAAGCAACAAACGATAGAAGATGAAAGCTGGTTCTTGTTCTCATTTCTTCTCCTTCTTCAGTTGGATGGAGGGAAGAAAATGGCGTCTGAAGTCCTCTTTGATCGGAAGGACTTCTCCACATCCGGATCAACCTTAAACGCCGCCTGCAAAACCTCAGGTGACAAAGCCTTCCACACCGATGTCTTTCCGGCCAAATGTGTGAAGATCGGACTACAAACACACAAAAAAAGTTTCAAACACATTAGTTTCTTTCAATCTCAAAACTCAAAAAGAAAAGTGCAGAGAAAAGTTCTTACTCAGGAGTGGTGACAATGGAGAACCAAGAC